CCCCACCCCCGGTACCATCAACACGTGTCTCCCTGGACAGAGGAGGTGAGGAGTTGACTCTACCCCTCACACACTTTGCTGACCTGCTTCACCAAGGATGGAATATTCTGGAATCCTGGAGTCAGAGTCGGAGTCCCAGTGCCTAATTGAAAGCTCTGGCACTTGCTTCCAGGGAGGGAACTATAAAAAGCTTCTCCTTGGCTTCTCCTGTGAATTTTAAATGTTTCCAACGCATGGCCCATGGAGAAAGCTGGGCCTGATCTGTAAACATGGAAGCCGTGGGAGAGGATTGAGGAGTCCCCTCTCTCGGGGAGAGCTGGGGGTGCCTGAGAGCTTGCGTCCAGCATGTGGGGGACAGCAGAGCACAGTGGTAGTACTGGCTTAGAGGGCAGAGGTAGTGCAGGTCAGGAGGATGGAGGTGATGCTGGCCGGGAGGACAGAGGCTGCTCTGGGACTGGGCCTCTGATGTAAGAGGTGACCCGCTCATACTGGGCCTGAAGTGGTGGGATCCTGGTGGGCATGAGCAAGAGGCCTGGAGGCACATCTGTGGGGTGAGTAGGTCTTGCTCCACCTGCACACCATGGCCCGGGACTCATCCATGCAGACTGAGTCCACATCGGCCACAGGTTTGGTTCTGTGTCAACTGGCTCAGTGGGGCGGGGCCCCTGGGGTCACGTGAGCAGGCCTGAGGGAATCTGGCACAGCTCAAGGCACAAGGTCCTCTGTGTGCCTGTCGGCGTCACTTTTGTGACTGGGGCCGGCCATTGCCCCAAGCCCGCAGCTCCCTGGGGCCTGGGCTTTGCAGACTATTTTTGTGCCCCTTTGCACGCCGTGTTTATTTTTAAATGAGCTTTTGTGAGGCCAGGATGGATGGTACAGGTTTTGCTTTTGAGTAAAAAGGTTCCCTCACTGTCAGGCCTGTGAAGGGTATTGCCAGCCAGCCACATTCAGGGTCAGCCTCGAGGTTTGATTCTGTCCGTGGAGAGCAGGTCACTGCAGCCCAGGACCCTGCAGAGAGGGATCTGCAGGGGACTGTGGGGGCTGTGCAGGGGGTTAGAGATGGCATGGAAGGACCCTGCAACCAGAGGACTCCAGGGGTCCCTGAAATGAGTCTTTCAGGTGGAGCATTCAGCACCCTTGTACCTGCCCTCGTACACCCATGGAAGCAAGATGATTTGGGGGGATGGGATGGGTTGGTAGCGTGAACTGCCGTGTGGTGATGTGGTTCTGAGGGCAGAAGTGGGGCAGGGCCAGGAAAGGGCAACCAGTGTGAGCTCTGAGCCCAGACCAGCGCTTAGGACTCAGGACGGTCAACTGCCCTGCAGAACCCTGCAGAGCCTCTCCCTGAGCCAGCCAGGGCAAGAGCCTGCTGTGCTGGCTGGCCACTGGGCTCCATTTGGAGACCCTGGGACTGCTGTGGGTCGGGGAAGCAGAGCAGGGCCTCACTGGTGGAGACCAGTTGGTGTTGACCTCCTCAGACCATCTGTAGGCCCTGGGCCCTGTGAGGGAGAGCTTGTCAGGAGAAGGAGCAGCTGAATGTTCTCTCCAGGTGGGCAGAGCCATGTCAATCCCAGGGACTTTGGGGGCTGCGGACATGGCTCAGGACCTAGATGCAGCCTTTGCACAGACAGAGAGGCCTGGGCTCAGTCCCTGACACTGCTGGTGTGGCCCCCAAACAAACAAAACCTCCAGCCTCGGAATTTCTGAACCTTGACTGTCAGGTCTGAATCTTGGGCACCTGCCCTGGGCACCCAAGGTAGCCTTTGCCTGGGAGCACCTGCCTTGCCCTGTGCCAATGGGATCAATGGCTTTATGGGCCAGGGAAGGGGAGGGATGAGGAGGTGGAGAGGAGGCCCCTCAGCCAGTTGGACCTCCCGGGGGGAGGGATGAGAAGGGCCCCCTGGCCTTTTCTCCCAGTAGCCCGGAAGGCACTGTCTGGGCGCTGCAGCCCAGCAGACGGGACTGAGGCGGTGCCTGACTCTGCACTGGGAGTAGGGCAGAGGCAGTTCCTGGGTCTGTGGCTCTGGCTCCAGTGCCAAGTGCGTTGGAAGACGAACGCTGGGAGTGGCCAGTCATAGGGCTCCTGGTCAGGCTGGAGCTGTTCTTTATAAACAGTCACAGAGAGCACCATTGTGAGAAGGTATTGATTTAGCGCTTCCGGGTACTGGAAATCCCCGTTAATCTCTGTCTGACTTTCTCACAAACCTGCTGGCATCTGAGGTCAGCCTGGTCCAGGAAGCTGCTCAGCTGGATGGGCTGGGAACTGAGTGGGCCTTGTAGAGGGGCGCCGGGTATATCCGTGTGTCCAGTGGAGGACAAGCGTGGGAATCACGACCATTGTGCCAGAATCTGACACCCCAGACCCCACCCCAGCACTGCAGGGATTGCTCAGGGAGCCCTTAAAATGAGAATATTGGCCAGATCCCTCAGAGAACCAGTGACTGGCCCCCTGGCCTATGAGTTCCCCTTTCCAGTCTGAGCTGTGTATGCCAGGTGTCTGGCCACAGAACTGGGAAGTCCTGGTGGCAGGTCTGTCCTTCCCTGGCCTCCTTTTCCCTAAAGCCTGGGGACGCCTGAGCCCAGCCTGTGACCACACACAACCAGCAGCGCCAGACTCCTTCTCAGTGTCATGGTCATGTGGCACCTGTTTGCACAGGACACACGTATCTGATGTGAATACTCCAGCGCCAAAGTGCCCTTGCGCACTGCCTTTTCCCCACTTGCCGTGTACCTGGAGGACCTGGCTTGGTACAAGTAACAAGTCACAACTTTTTGCAGACATGTTCTTGCTGCTTGCTCTCCGCCAGGCTATGGATGACTGACGTGGGCCGCATGGAGGAAGACATGGGTGGAATCTGCGGCTGATGTGGGCTGTGTGGGGGGAGATGTGGACAGGATCCGTGTCTGAGGTGAACTGCTAGGAGGGAGATGTGGAGTGCAGAGAGAGCCTGGGCTGGGCTGGCACCAGGAGGAGACAGTATGTGATGCTGTGGATGTGTGCAATTGGCCAAGTTTATGGAGAACCGAGCACGGGTTCTGTGACCCACCCAGCCCCCTGCTAAGCTGGGTGCTGCTGGTGTGCTATGTGTATCCCTGTGATGCATGCGTCCCCCTGATGCGTGCGTCCCCGTGATGCCTACATCCCCATGATGCGTGCATTCCCTTGATGCATGTGTCCCCGTGATGTGCACGTCCCCATGATGTGTGTGTCCCCACAATGTGCGTGTGTCCGTGATGCATGTGTCCCTGTGATATGTGTGTCCCATGATATGCAAGTCCCCGTGACACTTGTGTCCCCATGATGTGTGCGTCCTCGTTATCTACCCTGTGATGCATGCACCCTGTGATCGTGTGCCCCATGGGGTGCAGGCTGCCTGTTCCTGTACCTACTGCCCGCTCTGGGTGCTAAGGGGCCCCCATAACCTGTCCTTCCTGCTTAGCCACTCATGCCTCCCTTGCCCTTGACGTTGAGGCACTAAGAGAAAGGAGCTGTCCTTACAGGGCTCCCTGCTGCCGTGTCTACATTGCATCAAAACTAATGGGTCGGTGGCTATTTGGGCAGATCACATGGGGGTGTCCTGCCACAGAGCTGCCCTCCTCTGCAGCTCTGCAGCCTGGTCCTCGGAGCCACAGCGGTAGGGGGTGACCCTGCCTTGAGAAGGGAACTTGGAAGCATTGTGTGGAACTGTGTCTGTGTGGCTGGATGGCAGGACCCCAGACAAGCTGCGGTGGCCACTTCAGCTTCCCAGTGCCGCATGGCGAGGGCAAGGGCTGAGCACGGCAGGTGAGGGATTAGGGTGGATTCAAGTAGAATTCCCTCCTTCTCTCCTTCTGCCAAGCAGAGTCTTGCCAGTTCCTTGCAGACTCACTTCACGCTGAGCCAGAAATCGCTCAAAGCAGGAGCCGTCCCTGCAATGTGGTTCTCATATTCCAAACGCACATATGTGGCGCGGGATCTAATTATTCTTGGGGACAATTACTGTCAGGTTTGCCACTTTCTGTTCCATCCGGCGGAGACCATGCCGGGGAACACGGGGTTACACTGTCTGCCTGTAGAAGCACTTGCCAGCCCAGAACATCTGCTTTCTATTTAAAGCACTGAGGCTGGCCGGGGAGTGGGTTTGAAATGCTCTTCCCCAGACCTGAGCACCCGGAAAGCAGGAGGAAACGGGGCGGGAAGGTGGATCTGCCGCTCAGTGGGGGGTCGGGGAGCCCCACATCCCCGTGTTTCCTATAGGAGCGCCCTCGCATCTCACAGGAACTGGCTTGTCTGCCCTCGGCAGTAGGGGGCCAGCTGCTCTTTCAGACTCACTCGGGGCTGCTTTCCGGAACTCTGGGGTGAACAGAGCAGAGCACGGGTGGCAGAGCGGCATGTGAGACCGTCCACAGCCCACTCGGTCCCTGGGGGATTTTCCGGGTTCGGGGGTGGGAGTAGGGGGGCAGTGTATGTCACCACCCACTGCTGACAATGTAGCAGCTTCAAACAAAACTCCTTCCTGGGGTCTGGAGTCTAGCTTGGCAGTTCCTTGACTTCGGGTTTTCCTGTAAAGCACCATCAAGGATCAGCCCCCAGAGAGAAGTGGCCACAGCCTTCTTCACAGCATTTGCCTGAGGAGCGAAAGAGTTCTCCTTCAAAAGGGAGTAGAGGCTGGACTGAAGTGCAGCAGGGAGGGCACTTGCCTTGCATGTTGGCAAGATTCAGCCTCCAGCACCCGAAATTATCCCCTGATCTCCTCCAGGACTGATCCCTGAGCACCGAGCCAGGAAGAAGCCCTGAGCACTGCTGGGTGAGGCACATAAACAAAATTGTTAAAAAAGAACTGGGCACTTGATGAGAGACCAGACCCTGGGGTGGGAACTTGGTGCTTCGAGCCAGCTGGTTACCTGGAGCCTCTCACCCTCACCCTCCGGCACTGTTCCTGGTGTCCATGTTCCTGGACCTGGACAGGGTTTCTGGGGTCAGTGCTGCCCACTCACGTGCCCTCTCCCACCTCCTGCAGAGAGCAGCCCATTTTCACCACCCGCGCCCACGTCTTCCAGATTGATCCCAGCACCAAGAAGAACTGGGTGCCCGCCAGCAAGCAGGCTGTCACCGTCTCCTTCTTCTACGATGTCACCAGGAACAGTTACCGGATCATCAGCGTGGACGGAGCCAAGGTACCTCCCACGCCAGCCGCTTTCCCACTGAGCAACATACCACACTGGGGAGGTGGAAGGGGAGGGACACACCCTGAGCCCTGCCCCCGTAGAATGGACATTCACGAGAGTCACAGCTCTTGCCTTTTTCTTACTTTTTTTTATTTCCAATTGTGTTTGGGGGTTTTGGGAGGTTGGTTTATTTTGTTTTGGGGCTGTACACAGCAGTGCTCAGAGATCACTCCTGACAGGGCTCAGGAACCTTATGGGATGCCAAGGATTGAATCTGGGTCTGCTTGCTGCATGCAAGGCCAGCGCCCTCCCCCACTGTACTGTCTCTCAAGCCCTATCCTATCTTTTTTTCATTTTCAGATAAAATTGCAGCAGAAGGTGGGAGCGATAGCACAGTGTGAGAGGGCACCTACCTTACTCTTGGCTGACCCATGTTTGATCTCCTGCATCCCGTATGGTCCCCTGGGTACCTCTAGCAGTGATCCCTGAGCTTAGAGGTCACATCCTAGGGTCATGCTCAGGTGCTGGGGTACCAGGGATGGATGCAGGCCTTCAGCATACAAGGTGTACACTGCAGCCCTTTCTCCCTTGTGGTGCTTGAACATTTCTTGGGATGTTTTTTTCTGACACATCTATCATTCTGTCTATCTGGGTGGGCGTTTTTGCCACGTTTCTGTGGGAACAGAATTAAGGAGGGGGATCCATTGAAATGCCACCACATTTGTAAGGGTGCAGAAGAAAGTGGACCCATTCTTGATGTTTCCTTTCCCCCTCAGGTCCGCTCACCCTGCTAGGCATTTACACACATGCCCCAGGCATGGCTGAGCTGACTTCTGCTAGGCAGAGCCAAGTCCCCACTGGTCTCTTCTCTGTTGTCTGTGCTGAGACACAAGAGATGCAACGTCGTCCTTTCAGTCACTTGTGTGTGGAGCTTTGTCGCGGGGTCCCTGGTGCTGGCAGATCTGTTGGCCACTTCCCTCCCACAATGCCCATCTGCCCTTGGCCTCTCACTCAGGAGTAGTAAGTGGGGACTGGAGCATAGGGGACCTGCTGTGTGCTCTGTGGAGACCCTGGTCTCAATAGAAGCTCCTAAGGCCATTGCCCCAGGCAGCAGCTGGACCTGGGCTTGGGTGTGTGCTCCTTGCTGGTGGGGCTGCCACAGACCACGGTCACAGGCCACAGGTCACAGGCCACAGGTCAGGGGAGATATGAACAGTGCCCACTAAGAGAGGTCTCTCGTGTTTGAGGGATTCCAGGCTGAAGTGCCTTTGTTGTTCTTTATCTTCTGGAGATCCCATGGTCACCAGGTCTGCCCCCAGTTCTCCTCTGTGCTCCCAAGCTGGAGCCTGGCCTTTCTGTTGTATTGTGATTGGGTTGGTGAGGCTGGCCTCCCCAATGTGTCCTCCATCTGCCATCCTGCGATCAGACAAGCCAGCGCAGGAAGCACAGGGCTGTGGCACCGACACAGTGAGTCTGTCCTGCTGCTGAGGGTGTTGGGCTGATCTGAGGGGTGGCTGCAGGATGCCAGCAGGGTTGGGCGTGGACCCTTCCATTCCACTCCAGAATAGATTATTTTATGGGGTAAATTTGGGCATCACCGGGTAGGAAATCCAGGCCATGGCTCCCCAGAATTCAGAACTGGAGCTGAAGGAACAACCATAGGGGAACAGCATGGACTATGTGTGGAACAGCATGACTGGAACAGCAAGAGGTTATGTGTGGGACAGTGTATGTGGTGGGGAGGGTGTGGAATAGCGTGTGGTGCGGGGGGATCAGCAAAGGAAAACTCGGGCTGGCCGACCGGCTGGCCGGCCAGTATGAGTTGTGAGTTGCCTGGGGAACAGCTTGGCCACCACAAAACTTCGCAGGTGGTGGCGTGGCTGCTCATCCAGTGCCCGCCTTTGGCCCTTGGGGCTGTTTCTGCAGGTCATCATAAACAGCACAATATCTCCCAACATGACCTTCACCAAAACATCGCAGAAGTTTGGGCAGTGGGCCGACAGCAGAGCCAACACGGTGTTTGGCCTAGGCTTCTCCTCGGAGCAGCAGCTGACAAAGGTACTGTGTCTCCCAGGGCTCAGCAAGCACCGTGAATGTCAGGGGCCACAGTCCTGGGGCTCAGAGACTGCCCGTCTAGGGGCCACAGGCCTGGGTTCAGGGACTACCACGTCAGGGACTACCGTGGTTCAGGGATTCAGTGCTGTGCTGCCAGTGGCCACGAAACTGGGGTTCAGAGACTACCACATCAGAAAGACGGTTCAGGGACTCTGCTGTGCTACTAGGGGCCATGAAACTGGGGTTCAGGGACTACCATGTCAGGGGCCACAGTTCAGGGACTCAGTCCCATGCTACCAGCAGCCACGAAACTGGGGTTCAGGGACTACTGCATCAGGGGCCACAGTTCAGGGACTTAGTCCTATGCTACCAGCAGCCACGAAACTAGGGTTCAGGGACTACCACATCAGGGGTCAGGGTTCAGGTACTCAGTGTCATGCTAGTGGCCACAGATTTAGCGTTCAGGGACTCAGTGCCATGTCAGGGGCCACCGTTCAGGGACTAGGAATTCCATATCAAGGGCCACTATTCTGGGACTCAGGGAGTGTCATGTTACAGGCTAAGTTCAGGGGTTATTACAGGTCAGGGGTGTCCTTGCACTGTCATTCTTAAAGGCAGAAACAGAAACAGAAGCAGCCTGCGTCTCTGGTGGCAGTGAACTTGTGAATAAATGCCGGCATGCCCTTGGGAATGTCACTCAGTAGCAGGGCAGAGGATGGGGGCGGAGGGTCTTGAACTGCACATAAACATGTGCATGGACTTCCGTTACAAGGAGCCCTGAAGTAAGATGCGCCCCATGCCCGGGAAGCAGAGCCATGGGGGTGCCGCGTGTGTCTTCAGAGCAGACCTCAGGACTCCAGGACGGGGCAGTGTGCGCTCACCCAGCGTCTCTACTCCATGAGCATCTGTGACAAAGGGCAGCCTGGTGCACGCAGGACCCCACCATGGGCGCCCTCTGGCAGCTTTCATTGCCGAGTGGTTTTCTTCTGGCAGTTGGAGGCCGCAGGGGACAGTGCTCTATCCTCTGCCCAGGGTCACAGGGCTGCTACCCATGATGCTGCCATGAACATCTTTATTGTGAACACCATTTTTTTCATAGTCTCAGTTATTTCTTAGCACTCTTTCCCAGACGTGCAATTGCAGGTCAGTGGGAGAAATGCCTTTTCACAGAGGATCCATGTTTCCAAATTGCTTCTCAGCGGGGCTGTATCCTGCACCATGCTCCCAGAAATCGCCGCCAGCCCTGGCTATTGTCCTTGCTCACGGCGTGTATTAATTCAGCAGAAAGAGAGGTGCTTTTCTGTTCCCATTTGCGTTTCCAGGGGGGCCAGGGGCCGTCTGTGTGAGGCGCTGACTGCTTTTTTTATTTGCGCTTTATGGGGTCTGCCCTTCATTTGGTGGGTTTTCATATCTGCATTTTCAGGCTGCACATGCACCTCCTGTGTGACCCGCCTCCTGCAGTGCCTTCCCCAGGGGGTTCTGTCCCAGCGCGGGTGGGATTTTCCCCTTCTCCCCTCAACACCCTTTATTTATGGACTCTGGCTGATTACTCACGTGACTGTTTCTTATTCCCTCTTATTCTCAGGCAGCAGTTTGGACATTTGCTTCTTTTCTTTGGTTTTGGTTTGGGGGCCACACCCAGTGGTGCTCAGGGATTTCTCCTGCCTCTGTGCGCAGGGAGCACTACTGGTGGGCTCAGGGAACCATATGGGGTACCGGGAATCAAATTCAGTTCAGCTGTGTACAAAGCAAACGCCTTCCACGCTGTACTATCATCTCGCCCTTTAACATTGTTTGATTCTGTCGGCTGGAGTGAATTGGCCCTCCAGAAGCTTTAGCCAAAGGTCAGTGGTTGTCAGGTGCTGGCCATCCTTGACAGTCTTCCGAGCAGAGTGCCTCTGTGTCCTGCAGGATGAGGGCGCACAGCCTCTCGTGGGAGAACAGGAGCTGTGGGCCAGCAGGCGCAACCCAGAAGAAGTGCCTGGACAGAAGCCCTTGCCCTGGGCTGTGGATGGGGGCAGGCAGAAGAGTGCCTGCCCCGTCCCCAGGGGCACCCTGCATGTGCTGTCCCATTAGAGGGGCATTTTCACCGAGTGAGGGGAGCAGCGCTTGGACTGTGTGTGGTGACCACATGGCTGCGAATGGATGACTAACATTCCCGTCTAGTTTGCAGCTTTCATAGGGCACCGCACGGGGTGGATATGTGCCCAGAAGGTCCTGAACTTTGGTTCAGGAACTGGGCAGAGGGCTATGGTGCTTGGGGCAAGTAACCTCCTTTCACATGCGTTGGGGGCAGGGGTGTCTACCAGTCACATTTGACTTTCACTGACGTTGCACGCAAAATGTCCCGTAAAGAATTGCGTCTTCTCGGGGGCTGGAGCGATAGCACAGCGGGTAGGGCGTTTGCCTTGCATGCGGCTGACCCAGGTTTGATTCCCAGCATCCCATATGGTCCCCCAGCACCGCCAGGAGTGATTGCTGGGTGCAGGGCCAGGAGGAACCCCTGAGCATTGCCAGGTGTTACCTTACCCCCCCCCAAAAAAAGAATTGCGTTCTCTACCACCTTCCTCAGACTGAAAGGCTCAGTGGTGCCTACACAAGGGTGGTGTCTACACCGAGACCCTCCAGTAATGTAGGAAGCAGACAGCTGAGGCAGAAGCCACCCCCGCCCCAACCACGTCCCAGCACTTCCCAGAGCCATCTGTGGTGTCTTCCTAGGCCCTCGTGCGTGTGTGTGTACATGCACATGTGTGTGCATGTGTGTACATGCATTCATGTGTCTGCGTGTGTATGTGTGCATGAGCGTACATGCACAAGCCTGGACCCCAGTTCATTATTCGCAGAACAAACTTTCTTGGGCTGGAGAGGTAGTCCCGGGATTCAACACTTGCCTTGCAAGCTGTGCCCCAGGCTTCATATGTGATCCCAAGAGGACCATCAGGAGTGAAATCTGAGCACAATGCCAGGAACGGTCTCTGAGCACCACCTGGTGTGGCCCCAACTCCAGTCCCCACCCCCACCAAGCAAAACCAAAAACCATTCTTGTGCCTTCTTGCTGCCGAGGTGGCACCAGTGCCAGAGGGAAATTCAACCCTGCCACTGAGGAGCAGACAGTGGAGATGGGGGTTTGTTTCACTTAAAGGGCCCGTAAAAGGGAAGGAGGCTTTGTCTGTCCCTGCCGGCCTGTGCCTCAGTGGGAGACAGTGAGTGGTGGTACAGAGCTCGGCCACTGGTGCTGTGGCTCTCTCCTTGGGTGTGCTCTCTCTCCGTGGGCACTGCCTGAGCAGGGGGCTACCCTCTCGGCTTGGACACGGCTGCTCCGTCTGTAGCGCTTTCCCTGGGTGCGTGGCCGGGCGTGGTGGTTGCTGAGACGGCAGCTGTGCGGCCCGGTGGCTCTTTGTTTCTCCGCAGCCACTCTTGGCCAGCGCTGGCTCTGCACTACCAGCATGAGCCATCACAGAATGTTCTCTGCGCCAACAGTGGATTTGTTCGTGATTGATGTAATTGCCTGGGGGCTTTAGGCATCGCTTTTATTAGAAAAATATGGAAACAATGTCAGGAAGTAGAGCGGGGGCCAGGAACATGGCTCCAGTGGCAGCCGGGTGCCCAGCACGCCCATGTTGCATGTGCTATCTCTGGCATCGTGTGCCGCTTCCCCCCCCCCCAGGTCTAAGTCCCCAGACTAAAGCAAACACAGTCCATAGACTCAGTCGTTCACGTTCTGCCACATCTCTCCATCTATTCATCTGTTGGTCTACTTTGCATTTCAGAAATGAGATTGATTTTTCAATCTTTTGGGTCCCTCCTGGCTTGGTTGGGGGAGTTTGCTGTACCAGGCATCAACCCCAGGGCCTCCTTCAGGCCAACCCTGTGATCCTGCCCCCTGAGCCGTCTCCCCAGCACACCTGAACTCTGTCCTCTAACAAGGGGCACCTCAGAGGCTGGAGCGAGAGGACAGCAGGGGGGGCACTAACCTTGCACACAGATTCAATCCCTGGCATCCCATATAGTCCCCCGGGCACTGCCAGGAGTAATTCCTTAGTGTAGAACTAAGTGTCGCATCTCAGTTTATAAATCATGGCAATTCCTTGCTGGCACCTAGAGCAGTCTGTGCACTTGCTCCCATCATGGCCCTCACCTTGGTGGGACTTGACCTGCTGAGAGCTGCTTCAGTCATAGGCCGAAGGCTACATTTTTTTGTGTCGGTTTGTTTTTTTGCAAGATACTGGAACTTGAACCCTGGCTGCATGCATGAGAAGCAGGCATTCTGCCGCAGACCTGCATCCCAACCTTTGTTTTTTACTTTTTTTAATTTTCATTTTGAGATCATACCCTCTGGTGCTCAGGGCTTACTCCTGACTCTGCACTCAAGGATCACTTCTTTTGGGCTTGGATGCCCCATGAGGGGTGCTGGGGTTTGAACCTGGGTCAGCTGCATATAAGACAAGTGCCCTCCCCACAGTACTATATCTCTGGCCCCCACTTTCTTTTTTAAAGCATTAAAGCTCTTGAACAGTCTCTTGCCCCCAGCTTTCTGGATGATTGTGTTTCTTGTGGCACTGAGTTGCAAGAGTTCTTGAAAAGGGTGGATTCCTTCCAGGGCTTCCATGAATCAAGGAGGTGGAGGACTTCTGAACATGAGGTTGTCAGAGTTCTTGGGACTCAGATATCAGCGAGGTTCTGAGCTCAGCTGATGGCTTTTCTACAGGTTCAGTCCTTCAAGACATTTCCTTCTTGAGTAAAATTCTCCTTGCACGGCAAGGCAGTGAGTGGTTTGAATGCAGAGAACCAGCTACATATGAAGTTAGGAAAAAACTCTTCTCCACATTCAGTTTGCAGAGAAATTCCGGGAGGTGAGAGAAGCGGCCAAGCTCGCCCGTGACAAGTCCCAGGACAAGCTTGAGACCTCAAGTGATCACTCCCAGGTCAGTGTTCTGTCTGTGGAATGAATCTGGCTGTGGTGGAGATGGAAGCTGGGGGTTTTAGCCTTGAAACATCTGCAGCCTTGTTCAACCTTTTGCGGGTTGGGGTTGGGGGTCTCCCAAGCAGTGCTTAGTTCTTTCCTTTTTTGGTTTTGGTGACACACCTGGTGGTGCTGAGGGCTGACTCCTGGTTCTGCGCTCAGGGATCACTCCTGGCTGGCTCGTGGGATCAAAGCCAGATCAGTCACATACAAGGCACACATCCTACCTGTTGTCACCAGCCCCTCAGCAATTCTCAGACCCTTGCTGCTCAGCCCAACAGGGGAACACACGGAGGTACCCAGGGGACCTGGTGGTGCTGGGGACTGAATCCAGGTATCCTTGGCACCACCGTCCCAGCTCACCTGTCCAGTCCCCACCTGGATGCAGTGCAATGGGGTGACACATCTGTCATCCGGCTGTCAAAGGTGTGGGACGTTTCTGATGTGGAGTGGACTGCTCACCCACTGCCCCACGTGCCAGTATGGCAGGAAGCCCCAGAGGCAGGTACCTGGTTCCTCAGAGCTGGTAGTCATCCCAGAGGACTGACCCTCAGCTGAAGCAGCTGCCCACTTTCCTGAAGTGGTGAAAAAAATGTGCTCTGAGGTGATGGGGAGCTGTTTAGAGGTGGGGACACACCTGTCGGGTGACACGACAGGACTACACAGTGTAGTAGTAGTAGTAGTAGTAGTAGTAGTAGTAGTAGTAGTAGTAGACATCCATTCGTGGAATGGATGTCTGTTAGGCTGCAGGTGCAGGAACTGGCTGATGTTTTTAACTGACCTCCATCGTCACCTGGTTCATTCCCATCCTGGTTCCTGTCCAAGTAATCCCCACTGTCTGGACTGACCATGGGCTAAAGGATTTCTAATGTGCCGTGTTTTTCCTTTCTTGTCGTGATGACTTTTTTACACTGGATTTTATTAGGTTTTAATATCTGTCTCCCTCAAAAGTTCTTTGGAGCTGACATCAGTGTGCCTATACTGTGCAGCTGACCACAGTGCCCCTATACTGTGCAACTGACATCAGCACACCTGTACTGTACTGCTCTCACTATGCGTTAGAGTGTTTTGTCTTGTCTCTACACTACCTCAGTTGGCCCTGCCATGAGCCATGAGTCCCCCAAGACTGGGCGCTGTCCACGTTGGTTACTGGAGAGCACAGAGTTGTTGGCTCCTGGGTTGCTAGGGAAGGGGTGCTTTGGTGCAGCCCCATGTCCTGTGGGACAGGGTCCTGTCTTGTCTCCGGGGGTGGGGGGTGGGGAGGCCCTGTCCATGTCCAACACCACAGTTCCTGGCTCAAGTCCCACAGTGACCTGTGCAGGGATCCGCTTTGGCAGGAGTCCGGGTGTGAAGGCCCATCCTCTGCGCAGGCCTCCAGTGTAAATGGTACTGACGACGAGAAGGCCTCCCGGGACCCTGGCCCTGCCCACTCGCACCTGCGCTCCGAGAACGACAAGCTAAAGTTCGCCCTGACGCAGAGGTGAGACATGGGCTGTCTCCAGACCGCAGTGTCGGTTCCCACCTTCCCAAGCGCCTCAGACCCTGTTCGTGGCCCTCACCAGTGAACACCCGCCTGCCTACAGCGCTGCCAACGTGAAGAAGTGGGAGGTGGAGCTGCAGACGCTTCGGGAGAGCAACGCCCGGCTCAGCTCGGCACTGCAGGAGTCCGCGGCCAGCGCAGAGCAGTGGAAGCGACAGTTCTCTGTCTGCCGGGATGAGAACGACCGGCTCCGCAGCAAGGTGGTCCCATACACCTCACATGAGGGTGGTCTCATCTCACCAGCTGCTTGTGGGGGACGCAGCAGTCCTGGGGTCCGGCAGTGTACACCATGGAGCCCCCCTTGGCCATGGGCTGGGCCTTTCCTGCCAGACCTCAGCCTTGACACCGCTTTGCAGCTGGGCCCCAATGACAGGGTAGTTCGGGGTGGCCAGTGAACCCCAGTGGAGGTCCGAGGCCTCCAGTGCTGCGTGGCCTGTGGGGTGGGGTTGGTTTGGGGGTGTGGGACTGAGGTGGGAACACCCCACTTGTTACCCCATCCTCTAGTAACCTCTGTCCCACAGGCTTCTCCACCCCCTCGGCCACCAGCTTAGGCCTCTGGCGCAAACAATCATGCTGGATGCAATGACAGTGGTACCAGATTTGTTCTGGGGAGGAAACAGACTCAGGGGGACATCAGGCCGCTGCTTGCCGCAGACCCTTCAACTCTGTCTGGGCCACCCCTGGCACTGCCATTACTGTCCTCTGACCTCTAGTGAGGTCACCCGAATGTAATATTGCTGCTGGGCAGCTGCAGCAGCCACTGAGGCAGGGCTGTGGGTGTTGAGAGGAAGCCCCCAACATTGCTGGCTGGGTTGACTCTTGGCTCACCCCTGCCATCCCCCCCCAGATCGAGGAGCTGGAGGAGCAGTGTGGGGAGATCAGCCGTGAGAAAGAGAGGAACATCCAACTCAACAGGAGAATCGAGGCCCTGGAGTCAGAGCTGCAAGAGAAGGAGACGGTGAGAGATGAGGTGGTCCTAGGTCCGTGGCTCAGGGCCAGAGGTGGTAGCTGCCCACTCAGGCTTGGAGATGGCCGGAGGCACCCAGGCACCAAGCTCTGAACCAAAGCTCTTCGTCCCGGCAGTCTCCCCCAAGTGCCCTGAGGGAGACGGCACAGCACTGGGTATGCCCTGTGGGGCCTCACCCCAAGTCCCACACTCGGGGCTGGTGTGCAGGGCCCTGGCTGCTGCCCAGCTTCAGTTTTCCCTGCCTGTAAATCAGGGACAGTCAGAGCCCCTGTTCCTCTGCCGGTGCCTTCCTCCCTGCCAGGGCGAGGAGCAGCAGAGCACCTTCACGGGATCATGCCTGCTCCCTCTGTGCCCAGGAGCTGAAAGATCTTCGGAAACAGAGTGAGATCATCCCGCAGCTCATGTCGGAGTGTGACTACATCTCAGAGAAGTTAGAGGTGAGGGGCCAGGGGCGGTCAGCCCTGACCCCACCCTGCATCAGGGGAGCGCAGAGCTCCCACTGTCTGGGACCCCTTGCCTCAGACCTGTGACCTGAACCCACATTCCTCACTCCTGGCTCCTGGGTGCATGCTCTGTGTGTGGGTGTCTGTGTGCATGTGTGTATGAATGTGTGAATGTATGCATGTGTATGTGTGAGAATGTATGTGTAAGCGTATGAGCGTGTTGTGCGTGTATGAGTGTATGTTTGTGTGAATGTGTATATATGTTGTACATGTATGTGAGTGTATGCAAGAGAGAACCCAGCCTCACACGTCCTGTGTGCGCTTCCTCTCCACTCCCTGCTGAGCCCATCCCCATGCCTTTTGTGCCCTCTTGGCCCTCCTGCCTGTGTCATGTCTGGTCACTGTGACCCTGCCAGCAGGCCAGTGTTCCCAGCTGCATCATGCCCGAGTCTACTGTCCATGCTATAGCAGTGGGGCTTGTCTGTCCTTTGGGACAGGATGCAAAGTAACCTCTGCTGCGGGCAGGGCTGGACCTGGAGAGGGGCTTGCTGGCTCCTGAGAGCCAGACCCCCACCCTGGGGCCGTAAGCTGGGAGGTTACTCAGGCACCTGCCTATCTCAAGGGCACCTCTGCCAGGTCACACTGGAAATGGGCCTGGTGATGCACACCCCGCTTATTATGCAGCATGCAGGGGCGCGCCCCAGGGCTGTCCCTACCCTGGCTTCTCTTGCCGCTGCAGGCAGCTGAGAGGGACAATCAGAACCTGGAGGACAAGGTGAGGGCCCTGAAGACAGACGTGGAAGAGAGCAAGTACCGACAGCGCCATCTGCAGGCAGAGTTGAAGAGCTTCCTGGAGGTGCTGGATGGCAAGATCGATGACCTGCACGATTTCCGAAGGGGCCTGTCCAAGCTGGGTGCTGACCACTAGCTGCGGCCTCTCCAGGCGCTGTTTCTACCATGGCTGTGCCATGGGCACCTCCTCTCCTCTCTGGATGGTCCTGACTCAGGAGTACTGCACGGGGCCGACCCTCCTCCACATCCATGCAGGCCGGCCAGATCATCTCTGAGGGCTGTGGCGGCCAATGGGATGGCCATAGTGCTTTCAGGTCTGGTGTCTTGTCTTCCTCGACAGCACACACAGTTGCTCCAAAACTGCCTTCTGTAGAGCCAGTCCCGAGAGTGAGCGTGCCTCTGGGCTTGTTCCCTGGTGAGGGTCCTGCCCCGCCAGCCCTCCCCCAGGCTATAGGGGTGTGCGAATGTACCCCCTCTTGGTTTTCCTTTCTGAGCCATGACTGTGCTTCCGGGGCCTCGCACAGTGCCTGGCACACAGTAGGTGCTTAATAAATGTTTGTTCGGAGAAATATTTTAACAGAATTTAGTGCTTTGGTCCACCCCACCCCTGCAGTGGGCATTCAAGGGAAGCTTGTTAACAGCTGTCAGGCCTGGGGCAGCTGTGTAGTCAGAACCACAGAGTGACTGGGGAAGAAGCACCAGGACAGAGCACTGTCAGGAAGAGAAAGCTTATCTGAGAACCCCAGGACATACCCAAGGGTGCCCACTGCTTACCCCCCACCCCAGGAGGGTAGCAGAGTGGGAGGTGATGGACAGGCCTATGGCACAGGACAAGGGGCATGTCATCCCCTCGGGGAACATCTGCCCTGCCTTCCCCCAGCTCTCAGAAAAGTGGAGGCTTGGAACTGCCGGAGATGTCCCTGGGATGGGTTTGTCCACTGGCCACAGACAGGCCTGCCCAGGGGTCTTGGGGCCTGCCCTCTATCCAGGAGCGGACCCTGATGATGAGGAGCCCATTGGGGTCATCGCCCTGGCGAGGGTGTCTGAGCTCACTGAGCAGCAGTGCACACTGGACACTGCAGCTGCCCCCGGCCCTGCAGCTGAGTCCCCGAGTCGTCTCAGGGAGGAGGTGCCGGTGGAGCCCCCCACTGCCTGGTGGCCTTCCCAATCTCAGTGCTTGTGGGACCCCAAGAGAGCACCGTCCCACAGAAGCACCCAGAGCTCTCTGCAGGGCAAGCTGCTGGCCAGTCCGGAGGCCTATGGCCCCCAAGTCTGTCACGAGTCCATCTCACGATGCCCATCTTCCCCACAGGTTCACCTTCCCTCGGAAACCGAAGAGTTCCCCACTAGACACTGGGCTGTATCAGGCATGTGTGTCCTGCCTGATGCCACACTCTTGGGCCATCACAGACTCAGACCAAATGTTGCTACTAGCTCCACATTTTTTATATGTTTCTCGTAGCTTTTGTATATTGATATTTCCAAAACAATTTCAGGGTCATTTTGTAACACTTTGAAGCACTGGAAATTGGATTCTGTGACTTGTATTGGCATCTCTAGTAAGAGATACGATTTTTTCTGATACATGATCTTTCATTTCAGTAACTTTACAAAGTTTTAATTTATGTTCTTCAGTAAGTTTTCTACACAGGTAATTTTATCATTATTTTTGCTGAAACAAAACAGTTTTAATTAAACTTACTTAGAAGTGAAGGGAGAGAAAGGGAGAATACAGGTTTCTCTGGAATGAAAAAAGGCAAGCAAAAAAAAAAAAAACTGAGACAAGCCAGCGAGATCCGTGTTCTAGGAAGAAAGTGGACTTGCGGACCAAGCCACTACCTGGCATTTTTAGAAACAAGCTTTCTCTATTGTCTTCCAACTGCTGCTTGTTGAAGTGAAGGCACACTGCTTTGGAAAGTGAGATAAGGGCCAGAGCCATGGTACAGAGGGAAGGGCGTTTGCCCTGCACAGGTTCAATCCGCGGCATCCCATATGGTCGGTCCCCCAAGCACCGCCAGGGGTAACTCCTGAGCACAGAGCCAGGAGTAAACCCTGAGCATCACTGGGTGTGACCCAAAAAGCAAAATAAATAAAAATGAGATAAAGGGACTGGGGAAAGTGCTCCAGAGTCTGGGGCACACACATTGCCTTGTGAGAGCCCCCGATTCCATCCCCAGCACTGCATGGTCCCTTGAGCCCCACCGAGAGCAACCTCTGGGCACAGAAGCAGGAATAACCCTGAGCACTACCATGGTCCTACCTTCCAAGCCACCATAAAAAAAAACTATGAAAATGGAAATGAAGTCCATTTTCTGCTTTGAAATATTATAAAGGTAAAGGCCCTCCCGTTGTTCATCGATTTGCTCAAGGGGCCCAGTAACGTCTCCATTGGAGACTTTGTTGTTACTGTGTTTGGCATATCGAATACGTCACGGGGAGCTTGCCAGGCTCTGCCGTGCGGGCAAGATACTCTCGGTAGCTTTCCGGGCTCTCCGAGAGGGGCGGAGGAATCGAACTCGGGTCGGCCATGTTGGCTGCGTGCAAGGCAAACGCCCTACCGCTGTGCTATCGCTCCAGCCCGGAAATATTATATGAAATATTATAGTTGTGTCAAATGTAGAAGCTGAAAGGTCCCCACCAACAGTGACCATCCCTCTGCCCAAGGTAAAGCCCACAGTTGACATCACCCCTGGGTATTGTCCCTGAATTGTGTCCAGAACGTGTGGGGCACGTTCCACTCCACACTGGATCTGGAACTTCACCCTTTGGCAGCAACTCACAGTGCTCAAGTGAACCCTGCCCACTTGGGCGTTGACTCCCACATCCCTCCAGGGAGGCAGTAGGCGCACGCCCCCGCATGCTGAAATCTGCTCCTCGTTGTTAGGGTTGTTCATTCTCCTGCCTTTTGAGCGAGTGCTGTGGGTGCTGTGAGGTAGGGATGTTTTACCCGTGGGTTCCAGTGAGCCAGCCACACTTTCTCCTCACCAGCACTTTCCTGCTGTTAAAAACCAGGAGCGGGAATTGGGCCTTTCTGTCTTCTTGGTGAGGAGGACTAAAAGTATAAGTGACTCTTAATGGACGATATCCTTAATATTTAAATTTATACAGCAAGTCATAAATTTATAGAGAAAGTCTTTCTAGTTTGCTGAGTTTCATCAGAAATGGATGTTGAGTCTTCCCTCTTGCGCATTCCCTATCTCTAAAGGGTGAGGTGGTTTTTCTCCATAACCACAAAGTAAATCATTTCAATTTGCTGACGTTAAACCAACTCTGCGTTTGCAGAACTGATTCGTTCATGACACCCTGTTTTGAATATCAACCTTCATCTTGTGTTACCAGAGGGTGGCTCGCAGTACGTGTTTTGTCGTGTTCCTACCTATGTTTGGGGTTTTTCTACAAGATTCATGTGCTCTCTATAAAATAAGAGCTTTAAAATGAGGGCTGGAGCGATAGTACAGCGGGTAGGGCGTTCGCCTTCCAAGCGGCCAACGTGGCCGACCCGAGTTCGATTCCTCCGCCCCTCTCGGAGAGCCCGGCAAGCTACCGAGAGTATTCGATATGCCAGACACAGTAACAACAAAGTCTCCAATGGAGACGTTACTGGGCCCGCTTGAGCAAATCGACGATCAACGGGAGGGCCTTTACCTTTACCTTACCTAAAATGAGAAAAGCACTCTGCATCAGGCTTGTTTTTATGACTTTGTAGTATCTGAGACACGGAGACAGTTGCAGCTGTCCAGAAGCAGAGACCAACTTCTCAGAGATTTTCTCTGCTATTGTATCCCACGGCTCCTTCCTATTCTGTGAATTTCAGGAAGTTTGAATTTTGCTAATGATTTCTCTTCTGACTGTCAAATGTGTCTGTGTGGAGGGTAAGATTCCTTTTCCTTATGCACCATGTGTCTGTACTTTGCTTTTCCATTCTGGTTAGCTTTTCCAGAATTAGTCCGTTGGTCTTGTCAAAGAACCAGTTCTGTAACTTGCAACTTAAATGATAACACTGCTGTTTCATGTTTCTCTGCCTCCTTGTAACCCCTTCCCTTCCTATTATGTAATGGAAACATCCACTGTTTCTCACTGGAGGGCCTTTCTCAGGGCATGGCAGTTCTCAGAGGTAGCAACTCTCAGGGGTAGGTAAGTTTGTTTCAGATATGACTTTTTTAACCAGAGAAATTGTTTACTATCTTATTTTCAAATTTCCAGAGCTGTTTGTTAGAAATGTTGGCAGTTGCCGTGAATGATTTTGCAGCCCATTGCCAGAGCAGGTATGGCCTGTCTACACTTTCTGTAATTCAGAGTTCGTGGAAGTTTCCTCGGGACTCATCAGTTGTTAATTAGAGTAAAATCCTAGGGAAAATGGAGCAGAAAACAATCTCTAAAGGAAAGTTAGTCCATAGATGTTAATTTGACCTTACATGTTTCATTAATGACAAGTGATGTTTATTCTCACTGCTGTTTGTCTTGTGTTTCTGTTTGACGTCCCTTGTGTCTGTCAGATGATCTTATATTTGAGAGAAATATAATTTCCATCGAAGACTTACAAACCTTGGTCGAATGTTCCCTGCCTTTATGTAACAGTTACGGAGAAATAGTTTGGTGAGATGCCTGTTTTTAAATCCATGAAAATCTCCTAGAAGCCCTTCGTGAACCAGGTAGATTTTTTTGCTGCTCTGCAGGACAGGTTGCAACCCAAGGCGGAGACCCCCCATCCTTGGCAGCCCACCAGACTTAGAACCCTGTACTACCACTGGCCGCCAGATTCCCAGACTCTCTTCTCTTGGGGGTGTTGAAAGGGTCTGGGGCTCACCCACGTACCAGGTGCATGGGAGGCATCGCGCCAGCCAAGAAGCACTGTCCTGCCCCACGGCTGGCTGCGGCGACCGTCCTACCCTCAACTTGGAGACACCGAATAGCTCAGACATCCCTGTGCTGTGACACCTCACCTCTCACCCCGCTGGCCCGTCTGGCCCATGAACGTGCGTGAATCGACCCTTGTTTGAATCCATCCAGGTTCCCACGACTCAGGTCATACTCAGTTGGGGGTGGGGACGTGACTCTTGCAGGGGGTCCCCGGCCCCGCCTGCCGCACCTGCAGGAAGGGAAGGTAGGCCACTGTGTTGTGTCATCAGAGGCGCCTGTGTGCTTCCGTCCTTTATTGAGGCTCGTCGCTGTGGGCCGGGCCCTGATTGTGCCGGGTCACCAGGGCTGTGGGCTGGGTTGCAGCCGTGCCCACTCCGGCACCCCGCCTTTGGCGCCCCCCTGGCCTCAGCGCTCCCACTCGCCCGTGGCCTGCTCCTCGTCCTCCTCTGAGTCCGCCGATGCCTTCTTGATGCGCCGCAGGGCCGCCCGGATGCTGCTCTCCAGGTCGCTGGCGCCGGGCGCGCCGAGGCTCGGGGCCCGCTCCGGGGCCACTCTCCGCAGCCTCACCCCGCGCCGGATGGCGGCCAGAATGTCCTCCCCGACGGCAGCGCGGGGGGCGCGGTCCTGCCGCAGGGAGGCCAGCACCGTGTCCATGGAGCCTGGCGGGGACAGACAGGGGCGCTAGCACCACAGCCACCCTCCACCCGTGCCCAGGCCTCGGCGGGAGGGACAAGTCAGCTCAAGTCTGACCCTGGATCCCTAGCGCCCCCCATCACCACCAGTCACTTGACGTTGGCGCCCACGGGTCAGTTACCGGTGGTGTCGGAGCGCAGGTGTCAGTCACGTGGTGTCAGTTCCCAAGTGTCAGTCACACCGTGTGTCAGTTCCCTCAAGGTAGTCATCTGCATGAGGGGTATTCTCTTTCCCTCCCCGCTACAATGTATCCGTCACATGGGACATTTGGTCATGTGGCATAGTGGTGCCCCTGCGCCGGTTCTGTGCCAGGTTTCCCCTTTGTACCAGTCACATGGTGCATTCGTCACAGGATACACTATTTCCTATGTGCCACTGACGCACCAGGAAGTGCCCCCCAAGCAGCGATCACATGGTATGGTCATGTGACCTGCCGCTACCCTTGCATCACCCCTCTTGGCCCTTCTGCCCAGGAGTAGGGACACCCCAGGGTTACCTGGGCCTCCGGACCCAGCCCGAGGCACAGCGAGGGGCTGGGCAGGTGACTCGCACACCAGGGGTCGCGGGCGGTCGTTGTTCCCCAAGGCCTGGAAGTGCAGACTCAACGACCCAGCAGCCAGGGGTGGGCAGGGTGGTGCGGGCGGAGGAGGTGGTAGAGGAGGTGGGGGCGGTGGGGGAGGTGGGGCTGGCGGGGGTGGCGAGTCCCGTGGCAGTGACACCTTGTCACTGGGTATGAACTCTGTTTGGTCACTGAAAGGCACAGGCGCTGGGGCAGGGACAGTTTCCAAAGAGCCTCGGAGCTCCGAGCTTGGCACTTCTGGGTCCCGAGAGGGAGAAGCCGGGGGCGGCGTCTTTGGTGTCAGCGGACGTGTATGTCTCTGAAAGCAGAAAACTGTCGTTAGAACGGTTGTTGCCAGGGCCAGGTGTAGCGCTGAGCACATACTCTGCTTGGCAAGGCCACTGGGTGGAACCAAGAACCAGCTTGCCACACGGGTGGGCTAGAGGCTAGCAAGAACCTCAGCAGCAGCACCTGGGCATGACCACACAGAGCCACCGCCACGGGGCTGTCCTCAAATTGATTTTGTTTTGGGCCACACTCTGTATGCTCAGGTCTTCCTCCTGGCCCTGTGCTCAGGGTCCCTCCTGGTGGGATAGGGGGACCATACGGGGTATTGGGGATCAAACCCAGCTTTGGTGTGTGCCAGGTCCACGCCCTCCCCACTGTGCCGTCTCTCCATGCAGCAGCTGGCACTTTCCCCAGGACTGTTCTTGCCAGACACTGCCAGAATCATGCCCTGCTCTCACCTCCTTAAATGCTCTCAGCCGCTGTAGTGTTTTTCGCCGCTCTTGGTCTATCCATTCTTTTCTCCTTTTCTCCTCCTCTTTTATCTTGTCCCTTTTCTAAATCACAGCAAACATACTGGTAAGTTTCCCAGAGCCCTGAGGGAGAAAAAGGGCCTTACCCAGTATCATCACCTGCCCTGCATGCTCCCTTCAGGGTCTGTTCCCCACTGCAAATATCCCCAGATAGGTGTGACTGCCCTGGCAGGCTGGTGCTGTGCCCACACTCACCATCTGAGCTCCGTGGTGCTGGTGCAGACGCCTTGTGCTCTCTGTGGCCTGCTGCAGCCTGACTCGGTGGTTTTCAATGCACTGATCCTGAGGGAAGAAGCAGGTTGCCCGTTGGTTTTGGAGAGGACCCTGTGGCCTCACCCAGGAAGGAGAAGGGGACCCTGCTTAGGGGCTGCCAGTCTTGTCCCTGCCATGGCTGGGGCACCGTTTCCCCTCCCTGGTCCCCATGGTTGAAGCTGTTGGGATTCATGCTTGGGGGCAGGAAAAGGCCAGTGTTTCAGCTGATGCAGGTAGGCAGCCCCCAGCACCATCGGTGGTGAGATGTACCATAAGGCTGTTTCTATGGGGATTCTTGAACACTTTCCCCCATGATGCTGTAAATAATAGACGCTTCCAGGGTAGAAAAACAGTACAGGAGGTAAGGTGGCCCCCAGTTTGAATCCCCATCACCAAATATAGTTCCTGAGTACCCAGGAGTCACTCCTGAGCATAGAGGCAGGAATAGTGCCATAATACTCCCGGGCATGGCTCAAATTCCATCAAGTTACGTTTCTAAATATGTCTATATAAATATACTTATGAAACCCTAAAGTTACAATTGGAAACTTTACTTCAGGGTCTGAGGATATAATTCAGAGATGGAGCACATACTTTACAGGTATAAAGCTCTGGGTTCAATCCCTGGTACCCAAACACACACATTAAAAAAAATAGCTCTTGGGCCGGAGTGAGAGGCATTTGCCTTTTATGGAGTGACCTGGGTTCAATCGCCAGTATCCCATATGGTTCCCCAAGTACTGCCAGGAGGAGTTCCTGTGCGCAGAGCCAGGAGTAGCCCCTGAGCATCGCCGGGTGTCACCCAAAAAGCCAAAATTTAAAAAATGAAAAGAAAGCCCTCTCATTTCACGCGTGCATAACCACTCTTAGTAAGCCACCTCTGCGTGGCTTTGGAGTTTGCTGTTTGTATTAGTGTGAGACTAAAACTGCCCAGGGCCACAATTTGAGCTCTAACCTTAGTCTTGGAATTTTTCAAAGTTAGGGGGAAAAAGTAATCATGTGGGAGAGACAGTACAGCGGATTTGCATGCAACAAACCAAGGTTTGATCCCTCGCACTGCCTATACTCCCTGAGACCAGGAGTAATCTCTGAGCACAGAGTCAGCCCTGAGTAACACCAGGTTTGGGCCAAACTTGCCCCATCACCAAATATAAGAACTGAAATTAGTTGAATACTATCTCTGATATTGTTACGAACAATAGTTCGCGATAAAATCATTTTATAGTTGATTACTACAAGTTTCTAACTACTGTGATTTCAAAACTGCCAGTAAAGAGTCCAGAGACATATTTCCAAAGGTCGGGCTTATGATTTCCATGCAATAGACCAGAATTTGATTTGATTCCCCAGTCCTGCATGGTCCTCCAAGCACAAAACCAAGTGTAGTCTTTGAGCACTGTTCAGTATGACCCAAAACCAAAAACAGAACAGGGTATGTCCAAAGCATTTAACAAATGGTTGATCAGTGAAGGGAAGTACAGAGATGATGTTAAATGCTTAGAACCCAAAAGAATTATTGTGGAGGGTTTCCCAAGCAGTGCTTTGGAGGTGCAAGAACCCAGGCTGGCAGCTCAAGGAGAGGGTCTGAGTATGGGCCGATCGGCGCCCCCAGTATCAGGGTGATCCTGGCCACCCCAGCCAAGCCTGTGGCCTTCACAGCCACACCCGGCAATGCTGGAGGGACCACAAGGTGCCTCAGCTCAGATGGGTCAGCTGCATGAAAGCACACACTTTAACCCCAGAATCTCCCTCCAGCCCCCCAAAGTTATCATCTTATTTGTGTTCAAATAAGAACACGGGCTTCCCCAGATGGGAAAAAGCCCAGAAAAAGCCCAGAAAAGAAAAAAGTGAAAGACTTTGTAGCCTCTGTAGCATTGTAGCCACAGATGAACACAGAAGTACGTGAGCACTGCAGAAGGTGTCCACCCCATGGAGCAGGGCCATGCTGGCGCCCTGGAGAGGCCACGGGCACCAACCTTCCTATTCCTGAGCTGGGCTCTCCGGGCGCAGATGCTACCTCGGCGACTCTCCAGCTGCCGGCAACGGTGGCTCAGCGCTTTCAGCTCCCCACTGTGGCCCTCATCCTGCAGTCCTGCCGCGCCATCCAAGACCCTCAGCTCTTCGGGACTCTCGCAGGGGTCGTAGTAGATGACCTCCTCCTGCTTATCTGCAGACAGGACACTCATGTAAGTCAGCTTCAGCATAGAGAGTAACGCGGGGGGCCAGAAACCAGAATCACAGTAGCATGGTCTCTTTTTAAAAAATATGCACTAAGGGGCCAGAAAAATGGGACAACGGGTAGGGCACATGCTTTGCACGTGACTGACCCAGGTTCGATCCTCAACACATTGTTTAATCTCTGAGCACTGTCCAGGGTGGTTGGAAAAAATGGTGGTCTCCCTCTGCTGAATAAACACAGTCCTGAATAAACTAGAACCTCAGGTTCATCCAGAGAATAGAATACTCTGGAGTCACTATGTGTTTGGGTGTTTTTATTCCTGAGGTTGAAAAGCGCCTGTTACATCTTAAAGTGAACGTGGTGATGGTGAGAGACAGCAGCACAGCAGGAAGTACCCAGTAGCCAGCAGGTCAGTCAGGAATGGTGGCGAGAGGCTGCCATTGGGCCCCCCTGTCTGACCCCTCCTTAAACAGGGACTGTGTTAGCTCAGTAACAAAGGTACTGAAGCAAAACCTTACTTAGGGAGTTTCAGTATAGGGTTTACACCAGCATTTCTCAACTTTACTCTGACCGTGGACCCCTGCGTGTGGTCCCTTGTCTTACCTGTGAATCCCCTAGTTTAGGGCCCCCATTGTTTTGATTTTTACCTGTGACCCTCATGGAATATCGTAGGGGCCCCTGGGGGGGGACATTTGGCTCCTGACATTATTGAGAAGCTGGTTTTACTAGCAATTAAGTGCTATTCCCCTAATCACTTTACTATATTTAATAAGTCTTACCTTTCATGTATCTTCTAATAGAGTCCAGCTGTGTAATAAGCAGCATTTCTTCATATTTTAATATCTCGAACTTAACCTCGTATAATTCTAATTGAGCTTCGTAATACTTTAGCTCTAATTCATCTACAACATCCTTATTTTCTTCTTGCTCTGGAAGACCTTCCATCTTGTTTTCATTGGGGAAAAGAAAGGTTAAAATAATTCAGTATGAAAAAGTAAATTTTAGGGAACAGAGAGAAAATACAGGGGTTAAGGTGTATGCCTTGGACATGGCAGTCCCGGGTTCAGTTCTTGGCACCATACATGGTCCCCTGAACATCACAAAAGTGATCCCTGAGTACCAAGCCAGAAGTACACCCTGAGCACTGCCTGATGTGGCAACAAAATAACACAGCAAATATTAGAAGCCTTTGAGCTATTTTCCTTACTTGGTACCAACTAGTTTTTAAAAACAGAGGTGAGACACCTTTCTACTTTGTTTAGTTGAAACAAATTTGGGATTGGGATTATTCCTGGCTCTGTGCTCAGGGATCAATCACGAAAGGCTTGGTGCTAATCGTGGTACTAGGGATGGAACCTAGGTCAGCCAAGGCGTCACCCCCATACAATCTCTCTGGCCCCTGACCCAAAAATAGTTTATTCAACTCTTGTTACAAATAGTAACTCTTATCATGAAACATGAAACAGTTACATTCTAGGAAAAAGGAAAGCAATCAGTTATATTCAACTTTTAAAAAAATCGGACCTCTAGGCTGGAGAGAGAGCACAGAGGGGAAGATCCTTGCATGCGGCTGACCCAGGTCCCATCCCCTGCATCCCATATGGTCCCCTGAGCACCACCAGGAGTCAGCCCTGAGATCACCAGGAGTCAACCCTGAGCGTCTCCAGGTGTGGCCTCCAAACCAGAAAGAAAAATAAAACTTTGACACTGTGACACTGTGTGGTCCTTGAGCATCTCAGGGTGTGGACTGGGGACTCCGGCCCTGTGGGGCCACAGCCTCAGACCCTCCTATTGAACCACTGTTTGGAGCCCCAAGCCTCCTCAGAACCACACTCGCCCCACCCCCAACAAAATTATAACCTTGTGGGCTGAGAGTTGGCACAAGCCAACTGTAGTTGCCTGAAGCATCATGGGGTGCAAACCCCCCACCAGCACCATGCTGAGAATAGACCCTAAATTTAAGACATCATGAACCTAAGACGTTCTAAGGTGTTGAGACACTGGTTTTAAGTCTTGTTGCCTTGAGCTTAGTGTTCGTGGAGAGAAGTCCACATTATGTTCATGAACCTCATGGTATGTATTAAAAGACAACATGGGACTGACTGACCACTCAAGAAATACCAGCACACAGATGTGAAAACCGACATTTAAAACACGGTGAAAGCGGCCAGAGAGACAGCACAGGGGTCAGGGCACATAAAAATAAATAAAAATAAATAAAAAACACCGTGGGGGTGGGAGAGCTAGGACAGCAGCTAAGGAGCTGGCCTGGCATGTAGCCGACCCAGTACCATCCCGAGCACCCCATATGGTCCCCTGTACCTGAGTGCTGTCCTCCCGTTGTTTATCAATTTGCTCAAGCGGGCCCAGTTACATCTCCATTCTTTGACTTGTTGTTATTGTGTTTGGCATATTGAATACGTCACAGGGAGCTTGCCAGGCTTTGCTGTGCAGGTGAGATACTCTCGGTAGCTTGCAGGGCTCTCCGAGAGGGGTGGAGGAATCGAACCTGGCTCGGCCAGGCTGGCTGCACACAAGACAGACGCCCTACCATTGTGCTATGTGCTGAGGTAAGAGAAATCCCTGAGCATCACCAGGTGCAACACCCCCCACCCAAAAAAAGAAATCAAAGACAGGGAAGTTTTATGGCCTAGTTCTGTAATCTCTCAGTCCTTGTCTAGAAACTGTTGAAGTAGGAAGAAAATGAAAATCTGTAACATGTTCATGTCTAAGATTCAACTGTACGGGGGTGAGGGTGATATCAGGGTGAACTCCCTTCTCTGGGCTCAGGGGTCGCTCCTGGTGGTGCTCAATTGTGGCCGGCCGTGCCAGGCTTGGAGAGAACCAGGTCGGCTACACACACCGCAAGCACCATATCCCTGGACTATCTCTCAGGCCTGCAAGTGTGATTAGAGAACCAAGTCCCGTGTCTCTGTCTTACCTTTCCTCGAATTTCTGCCCTTCTGCGATGCGAGCACAGCTCCTTGGCCCTGAGGAGCTGCAGGGTCTCCTGAGCCAACCTCAGCTGCAGGTTCTCTAAGCGGGGCATGGCGGTGGCCCAGGCAGCCTGGCCGAATCTCTTCTTGTCTCTCTCCATCTGCTTCAGCATTCCTGGTGGACAGTCACTCGTCATTAGAAAGAGGAGCACTCACTCAAAACTAGCCTCAATAAAAAGGAAGTCATTTCATTTTAGTGCTTATAAAATTTCTACCACAAAAATACATATATTTTTAGTGTAAATTTTCTTTTTCTTTTTTTTTTTTTTGCTTTTTATTGCTCCTGGCGGTGCTCGGGGGACCATATGGGATGCTGGGAATGGAACCTGTGTTGGCCATGTTGGCTGCGTGCAAGGCAAACGCCCTACCCGCTGTGCTATTGCTCCAGCCCCTAGTGTAAATTTTCACAAACTTACACCAAATTCATGCAGCCAACCCAGGTAGATGCTCTGAACCCGCCAAAAGTGTGTGTGTGTGTGTGTGTGTGTGTGTGTGTGTGTGTGTGTGTGTCCTTTTAGATGCTTACCTGCTAGAGCGTTTACTGTTTCTGTGAAATAATCCACTGTGATGTCCTGGATGGAGGCAACAGCCTCATGGGCCCGCTGGGACCACTCCTGGGCTTCCTTCTGCAGGGCCCCCACCCTGCGGGGACCCAGCTCCTCCTCCTCCAGAGACTTCTGCAGGAAGAAGGGAAATGATGTGAGAGTCAGGAGGGGAAAGATCACAGAAGCTTATTCAGCAGCTCCTTTTCGAGGGGGCGAGAGATTACACCCGGTGATGCTCAGGGATTACTCCTGGCTCTGCACTCAGGAATCACTCCTGGCAGTGCTCAGAGAACCATATGGGGTGCCAGGGACCAAACTTGAGTCAGTCACATGAAAGGCTAGCGCCCTCTCCGCTGCCCTGTCCCTCCAGCCCTTCGGCAGTTCTTTTAATGAAGCTGGGAACTACCCAGAAGACTGGATCACTCTGGACATAAAGGAACCAAAGCATTGTGGACTACAGAGAGCTGAGGGCTGTCTCCACGTGGGGAGGGGGGGGCCCCGGGCTTCACTCCAATCACCCATGGGAGAAACTCCCACCCTAGGGCTGAGCAGAGTAGGATGAGCCCCCGCCACTGGGTATGGCCCCAAACCAAACATCCCAAACACAACACTTTCTTCAGACTGTGCTTCTCTCTGTCTGTGTGGCGTGACCCACAGTTGCTGAGATCTGTCGTTCAGCAGAGGGCCCAGGACCTACCATTGGTGTTGGTGGCCGGGTGTGGCAGGAGACTTTCAACACTGATTCTTCTTATTTTGTTTGTTTTGGCGCCACACCCAGCAGTGCCCAGGGCATACTCTGCACTTAGGAATCACTCCTGGCAGTGCTCAGGGGACCATGTGGGGTGCCGATCAGGCACTACAAGGCAAGCACCCTCCTCGCTGTCCTGTCTCTCCAGTCCCTCAACTGTGATTCTTCTCTGAGGGGAACAAGTAATTCGGCGAGCTTCAGAGACTGTGAAACTTGCACCTACGTGAGTATAATCTGGTCTCCTGGCCTCTGCCGCCCAGCATCTCACAGCACTGTGCCTCCCAGGAAGGGGGATGTGGGCAGGAAGTAAAGCGGAAATGTGCAGATCAGCGCCCTCCAGCCGCGAAGTCCTGCGGATCAGCTAGGGTGGGAGTGTGCTCCTGGGACAGGCATGGGCAAGGTGAGACTGCAGAGAGCAACAAGTCATGGCACCCAGGGGCGGCTCTGCCCCCTCGACTGCTGCCACTGGCTGTTCTGCAGCCCCAAGAAGCAAGGCACCGGCAGCTTCTGCCAAGTGGGAGGGACTGGACTGCACCCTAGACCATGCAACCACACATTTGATCTGGGTTCTAGGACATCAGCGTGGGCCTTCAGAGGTCAGAAATAAGTAAGTCAATAGGCCTCACATGGTTATAAAAAAATGGTTTTTCCAGAGGGTGTGCGACCTCATGGCCATGGAGATGACCCCAGGTAAAATGTCCTTCAGTGTTTTAAATAAACCTGGTAAACCTAAGGGGCCTCCAGAGTGCAATCGGGCTGAGTCCTAAGTGTGACCAAAGAGAGGACATGGGACAGTGTCTGGGCCAATAAAAATCAAAGAAGACATACCAAAATAGCAAGCTTACATGAAGTTGCAACCTCACGCATGTCTCTGAAGGGCTGCAGAAGGTTCTGGAAGAAGGCAGTGGCCGCAGTGATGAGTGCCTGGTAAGCGTCCTCTTCCTCCCTACAGAGCTTCATCAGGGCCACCATGGTGCTGGTCTGCTCATGTCGCTGCAAGACCTGGAAGACCGAGATGCGTGGAGCCCCGTGTGCACACGCCAGACACTCTGGACATGTGTGGCAGTGCCATCCCCCCAGCACTCCTGAGCACAGGACTGACCCCATACACACGGTAAGCACAGGACTGACTTTATATGTACGGTAGCATTGTCCCCCAGAACCCTGACCACAGGACTGACCCCAGACGCACAGCAGCACCATGCCCCTAGCACCCCGACTGCAGGACCAAGTGCAGGAAGCAGTATGGTTCCTCCAGCAGAGAGCAGTGCCCACGGAGCGCAAGAGCAGCTTGAGTGTTACTGGCTGCAGTGTGGGGCATGTTTTGCATCACTTGTTGGATGATACAGGTTTGGTGAGGCTGCACTCTGCCTTTTTTGGGGGATTCTTCCATTTACCCGGAGGCTGCCTCTCCCTAGCTCCCTGACATCCATTTGATTGTCCAGCTTTGGCCACAGAAAGGTCTTGGGTGAACATCTTTAACAAGTGGTCCAGGGCCAGAGAGATAGTACAGCTTGTAGGGCGTTTGCCTTGCACGTGGCCGACCCGGGTTTTATTCCTCCACCCCTCTCAGAGAGCCTGGCAAGCTACTGAGAGTATCTTGCCCGCACGGCAAGCTACCTGTGACGAATTCAGTATGCCAAAAACAGTAACAATAAGTCTCACGATTTGTTGTGAGACGTTACTGGTGCCCGCTCCATCAAATCGATGAACAATGGGAGGACAGTGCTACAGTGCTCCCACGCAACACCCAGGAAATCTGGGGAATCTCCTGTCATTCTCAGTGAGTCAGAGGGAGGCCAGAGGCCGCAGTGCCCTGTGGTGCGGGGGATCCCCCTGGGCAGCTGCACCTGAAAGTGTTTGAGGGACCATGTGGGAAAAGACTGAGCCCTGGCTGGGCGCATGCCAGGCATGTCATCTGACCACTGTGCCACCCTCTATGCCTGAGCCCTACTTTTTAAAAAATTTTTGGGCCACCCCCAGCTGTGCTCAGGGTTGATACCATACTGTACTCAGGACCACTTCTGGTGGGGCTCCAGAGATCCTATGTGGTGCTTGAACCAGGAGTCACTTGCCAGCTATCTCCTGGGCCCGAGGGGAATTTTTTAACTAAAACAATTAGGGGCCGGAGAGATAGTACAGTGGGTCAAGCATTTGCCTTGCATTTGGCCAACCCAGGTTCTGTCCCCTGCACCACACATGGTTGCTCACCAGGTTGATTCTTGAGCCTAGAAGCACCTGAGCACTTCTGGGTGTAGCCCCCAAACCAAAAACAAAATAACAAAGGAGAATGGTTACAAATGAGCACTGGCATGTCAGCCTGATACTGTCACTGTCCTCCCGTGATTTGCTGATGTCTCCATTGTGAGACTTGTTGTTACTGTGTTTGGCACTGGAGACGTTACTGTGTTTGGCATACCGAATATGTCATGGTAGCTTGCCAGGCTCCGCGTGCAGGCAAGATACTCTTCCCAGGCTCTCTGAGAGGGGCGGGGGAATCGAGCCAGGGGTCCGCCCAGCCGGTGGCGTGCAAGGCAAATGCCCTACCGCTGTGCTACCATTCCAGCCCGAGCCTGATACAAAAAGCAGAAAGATTCAAACTGGACAGGACAGGGGCTGGAGAGACAGTGCAGCAGGGAGGACCCTTGCGGTGCACGCTGCGGACCCAGATTCAATCCCCAGGACCCCATAAGGCTCCAGAGCTCTCCAGGGGTGATCCCTGAGGTCAGAGGCAAGACTAAGCCCTGAGGACAGCTGGTTGTGCCCCCAAAGAAGCAAGCAAGCAAACGGCTCCAGCTTCTACCGACGTCCCGCCACGCCCACAAGGGTTCGCCACGCCCACGAGGGTTCGCCACGCCCACGAGGGTTCTGCCACGCCCACGAGGGTTCGCCACGCCCACGAGGGTTCTGCCACGCCCACGAGGGTTCTGCCACGCCCACGAGGGTTCGCCACGCCCGCGAGGGTTCTGCCACGCCCGCGAGGGTTCTGCCACGCCCACGAGGGTTCGCCACGCCCGCGAGGGTTCGCCACGCCCACAAGGGTTCTGCCACGCCCACGAAGGTTCGCCACGCCCACGAGGGTTCGCCACGCCCACGAGGGTTCGCCACGCCCCAGGGACTAGACACGCCCAAGGCCCCGGCACACCCCAAGGTCTACCCACGCCCCTACCGGTCAGTCACCCCTCCGGGTTGGCCACGCCCCTCCAGGTTAGCCACCACCGGGCCCCACCGCGCCCCCGGGGGCCCGCCCGGAAGCCCTTACCTGGCGCAGGCGCGCGCCCGCCTCGTCCTTGCGCGCGCGCAGGGCGCGCTCCCGGAACTCTCGCGGGTCCTCGCAGTCGTCGGGCTCCCCGGGCGCGGGGAAGAGCGCGTCGCGCACGGCCGTCCCGCCGCAGCCGTCGGCGGCCTGGCCCAGGTAGCGCTCCAGCGCCACGCACGCCGCCTGCAGCGCCGCGTCGTCGGGCCCCGCGCGCGCCCACAGCCCGAGCGGCAGCCCCCAGCCGCCGCCGCCCGCGCCCAGCTCGGCCGGCAGCTCCGGGAAGCAGCGCCCCAGGGGCGGCCAGAGCGCCGTCAGCTGCTGGTGCGCGCCGCGCAGCGCTTGGGCCGAGAGCAGGCCAGCCCAGCTGCACGCGGCCCCCGCGCCGCCCCGCCGCCGCCGCGCCGCGCGGTCGTGGCAGGTCACGGCGAACCGGCGCTCGGCGCCGTTCCAGGCCACCAGGAACCGCAGCTGGTGCCGCCCGGACTCGGCGAAGAGCCCCTCGCGCACCGGCACCCAGCCCTCCAGGCTGTCGGGCTGCTCGTCCGCCATGGCCGAGCCCGCTGGCCCCGAGGCCGCCGTCCGGGCGAGCCCCGGCCCCGGCGGCTCCGGCCGTCTCCCGGCGGTCCGCGGCCCCGCCTCCGCCGCCGATTGGCTGCCTGCGGGGAGGGGGGAGCCGAGGTTCCCGGCCGGCGCTCACGATTGGCTGCGCCGCGAGGGGCGGGTTCGGCCCCGCCAATGGGAAAGCCGAGCGTCCGCGAGGGACTCCGCCCCGGCCGGACTGCGCGGACCTGAGGAAGTACCGGGAAGTTTCGCCGACCTTGGCTGCCTCCTGTCCAGGGGCTTCGCGCAGTGCTGTCCAGGGGGGTGGCTGCCTGCTCAGAGCCCAGCAGTCTTGAGTCGAGACCAGCCGACCCCCGCACCTCCAGGGCCACGGGCTCCAGGCCCTGTACTTCGGGTGGTCACTGGCCGCAGACCCCAAACTTGATCCAACTTAGGAGTTCCTAGTGAGAGCCTCTAGCAACAAGCACCGGGTTGAACCGTGAGCAGTTCAACAAGCTTTCGTCAAAAAAAAAAAAAAATCAAAATCCACGAGCACTGGTTTTTGTTCAAGTGTCAGCTCCCCTGCCTGTTTGGGGGAGTCCAGGAGAACATGTTGAGGATGTCTGCCTTCCAAGTCCCCCAGCTCTCTTGCAGTTTTTCATGCGACTGCGTCCTAATGCTTCCAGGGATGCACAGACCCGCAGCTAAGGCCACTGGCCTAGGTCCACCTATTTAAGGTAATGGGGTGCAGCCCTTTCTCCATGGGGATGACGGAAGTGGTGGGGTGTCTCTCGAGACAGCAGTCCAGTTCGTGGGATGAGTTAGGAGTGGGAGTTGACCTGGGGAGGTGCTGCCTGCCAGCCTGAGTGCCCCGGGGAGCGGATGGAATCTGTTCAGGGACTCTGCTGGGTCCTGCCCACGTGAGTCGTGCTTGTTTGTGTCAGAGTAAGCCACCCTGCCTGGGGATTGAGCAGGGCCCTCCACGTGTGACACACCCAGCAGCTCTCCACCTCCTGGTGACACTGGAGCCTGTGGTCCCTTATTTGGGCTCTGATCTTCTGCAGGCCTGCTACTATTTGCAGGACTGGCTCAAGTTACTGCTGTGGGCAGAGGTCACCTTGAGGGCGGGAGGGAGCACAGGCCTGCAGTGGCAACTGCTTCCCCTTCCCTCTAGCCAGGAGTCACGGACCCCTCAGCTGGTAAGTGCTTCTCTACCTTTTTTTAAGTACTCAGGAACTGTTGGGAAGTGAAGGGCAGAGGCCTGGGTGTGAGCCTTCCAGGACATATGTTAGCTGATGGGGGCTCGCTCAGGTGCAGCTGGAGGCAGGGGTCCTTGCGAGCATTCTGGGGGTCCTTGTGTGTGGGGTCTGGTTCCCACTTCAGTTTGGGACCTCCTCTGCTGTGGGATCAGCCCTGTGAGTGGCTTTTTTCCCCCGTGGGTGCTGCATGCAGACAGGGCCCAGTTCTGTACTTGGATTCCGGTGCTAGAAAATGGCCTGCTTGTCCTCTCTCCCGGGCTGGGCCGGCTCCTCCCTCAGAGAAAGCTTTCTGGTGTGGCGAGGGCTGCACCAGACCCTGTTCGCAGCTGTTGTGCAAACTCTGCAGCCGGTCAGAGAGAGTTTTCTTGACTGCGCCTCAGTCACTAGAGTTCAGCAATGAGGCGTGGTGCTCATCAGTGCCCCAAGTTCAGACTGCTCTCTACCCAGGTGCTTCCTCCTTTCTTCAGCTGCCGCTGGGCAGCCAGAAACTGCGTGGAGCGTCCAGCCCACATACTACTGACATGACACTGACACCGTACCCGCACCCTTTGCCTGAACTCTGCTAGGGACAGGCAGTCACTGCGTCTGAATATCCAGTAGAAGTGATGGCCCAGGAAAGCCACACTCCGGGCAGAAACAGCTCTGCCTGGTCCTCAGAGAGCCTCAACTCTCCCAAGCCTGCAGTGTGACAGGCAGCCGAGGGCAGAGGGCAGAGGACAGAGGGCGGGGCCCTGCAGGAAACCTGGGAGTCGGAGCTGGAAGTAGCATCTCAGGGCAGAGTCCTGGGTAGCTGTGGACCCCTGTCCCTGGGTGCAGAGGGAGCAGTGCTGTTTGGGAGTGGACATGAGGGACCACAGAGGATGCCCATGGATAATGGGGGTAAGTGCCATGCTGAGGAGCTGGAGAGACGGCGTCTTACCACAGGGGAGACAATTGTCTGGCACTGCATAATGTCCCCTGGGAACTGCCAGGACTAATTCCCAAGCATAGAGCTAGAAGCGAACCCTGAGCACTGTGGGTACAGCCCAAACCCCAAACTCTCCCCACCAAATATATGGATTTATAATATCAGGAAGTAATTTATGCCTTTTTCCTGGGTGTAATAATCTATTGTGATCATTAGATTAAAAAAATTTTTTTAATAATTTTTAAAAATGATTTTCCCACACCCAGCAGTGCTGCGTCCTAGCCCTAACAGAGCTCTGGGGACCATACACAGTGTCTGGGATGGAACCCAAGTCCCTGACCTATTGCCTACGTTGCCGGATTAGAGATTATTTCTCAGCGTCTGTGGACACTGTCACCATTATGGCACGTGAGAAATGTGGGGCACATTGAGGACCCCCATCCCGCGTAGGATAGTGGGGACTCTGCAGGCATGATTGTGGTTCCTCATGTCTTCCTATCAGTGATGGAGCACATCTCGCTTGCCTTGCACACGGCTGACCTGGGTTCAATCCCCGAGCAGCATCACGGGTGATCCCCGAGCACTGCCTGGTGTGGACCCCAAACCAAAAAATAAAATTATGGTAAATAAAGTAGGACTATCTGCCCTCACCATGTTGACACCGAAACATGCCTGTGAGCTGGTCCCGCAAGGTCCTCGGGGCAGTCCCTCCTTCGACTCAGTGCTTTCCCCCACCCCCTTCTGTGCCCTAGGACCAGCCACTGGTGGTTCCTGTCCAGGAGGACCCCTCTGGGTATGGAAGAAGAGGCTGCAGGACCCCCTGCCCCCCGTGACTGCCACTACTACCCCTTGGACCTGTACGATGCTGAGGACAGGCTGGCCCTCCTCCCCACAGACCTGGCCGGCCCGGCCCCGCATCGTCCGCAGGACAATGCTGAGGAGCTGGCCCAGTTGTACGGACTTGAGGACACGGAGGAGCTTGGGGACGAACTAGCAGAAGACGAGGTGCTGCAGCCCGGGCTGTGCGAGTTGGCACCATACTCCCTGAGGAGGAGCCAGGCTACCCATGAGCAGAGAGGCCGGAGGCCAGGCGGGGAAGCCATGGGGACCGAGGACCTGGGCTGGAGTGGCTGGGGCCCGGCTGGTGCATGCCAGGACCTGCGGGAGGCCTATCGGTACACGCACGGCCGCGCCAGTGAGGACTATGAGTGCTACGTCATCCCTGAGGAGGAGGACGAGGAGGAGGCGCCTGATGGCTTCTGCGTCACTTGCAGAATTCCCGTGAGAGGCTCTGAGGCAGCTTCTGAGGAGCACCGGGAGCATGAGGTGACCCCACTCAGCAAGGCCCTGGAAGGTGCCCGGGTGAGTTAGTCCAAGCCCACTCCTCCATGATGTCCTCCATGCTTTTCCCTGGTTGCTTGAGTCGAGTTGGCCAGCCCTGAGTACCCTGGACAGAAGTGAAGGGCAGTGCTGATGTGCCCTTGTCTCCTGCGGAACAGGACGAGATTCACAAGAACATGTACAAGCTGGAGCAGCAGATCCTGGAGATGGAGAACTTTGCCAGTCACCTGGAGGAGGTGTTCATCACTGTGGAGGTAGGGGCCGGCCTGGCCAGCTCTGCTCTGGGCTTCATCTGTGCCCCTGCTGCTGCCCGCTGACACGAACACACTCTGGGTCACACATGGATCTCACACACACTGGTCACACATAGGTCTCACACACACAAACACACAGTGGGTGAACACATAGGTCTCACACACATACTGGGTCACATGTGGCTCTCACACACACACTGTGTCACGTGTGGGTCTCTCACATACATACTGGGTCTCATAGGTCTCACACTGGGTCACACATAGGTCTCACACACACTGGGTCACATGTAGGTCTCACACACACAGTGGATCTCACACACACTGTCACACGTGGGTCTCACACATACTGGGTCACACGTGGGTCTCACACACACACTGGGTCAGATGTGGGTCTCACACACACTGGGTCACACGTGGGCCTCACACATACACCTTGGGTCACACATGGGTCTCATACACATACATGTTGGGTCATACGTGGGTCTCACACACACTGGATCACATGTGGGTCTCACACACTCTGGATCACACTGGGTTGGTTACACACACAGGGTCTCTCACAGGTTAGACACACACATGGGGTCCACACACAGAAGCTCACACATCTACCACCTTGGGTCATCTGCCTGCTGCCCCTCAGGCATTGAGCGCCCTTCCTCCCACTGCCATGATCCTTGTTTGGAGCTCATGGTTCTGGTGATTATGGGGGTCTTCTAGCAGCTGTCCGTGGCTATGGCCCACGCTTCCCATGGCAGCTGATTTGGACGCAAAATCACCCAGGGTGGTGCCGGGGAGCTGGAAAGGAAAAGGGGTGTGGGCAGGTTAGTCTTGCCCCGGTTCTGGATGGAGAGCCCTGATCCTCGCCCAGTGTCTACACAGTGGCCTCTCCTCAGCCCCCGGTTGGCTCCATCCTGGTAGGGACAGGGGCTAAGGTCTGCTGTCTTTCAGGAGAACTTTGGGAAACAAGAACAAAATTTTGAGTCTCATTACAACGAGATCCTGGAAACGCTGGCTCAGAAATACGAAGAAAAGATCCAGGTTCTCGGGGAGAGGAAGAGAGAGAAGCTGGGAGCCCTGTACAGGCAGCTGGTAAGCTGCGGGGAGAACCTGGACACGTGCAGGGAGCTGATGGAGACCGTGGAGGAGCTGTGCCACCAGGGCAAGGCTGAATTCCTCAGGGTAGGCCGCCCCACAAAGCCCCTCAGAGCCCTGGGCTGCGCTCAGGGATCACTCCTGCCAGGGGTTGGACCCAGTCGTCCACATGCAAGCAGATGCCCTCCCCACTGTCCTGCCACTCCTGCAATTCCTGTTTCTGGGGCCCCACTGAAGAGTCAGGCTTGGGCCAGGCAGAGACCCCATTTGTCGATTCCCGGAAGCTCCAGCTCAGCCTGCCCAGGTGCTGGGCTGCCCAGCTCCTCCTGTCGGAGTGGGGCTCCCTGTTTTTCAGGGACTCTCCCCAAGAAATCGGTCTAGGATTCAAAGGAGTAGCCTTGACTCCAGAGCGGCCATTACCCAACCCCCAGCAGCACTTCCCCTCTGACTCAGTGCGTGTGGCCCCAGACAGACACAGCGGACAGTGACGCCGGCACAGTGAGGGAAACTGGAAGCCACCCAGGCCGTTGGGCTTCCTCACGGGCACTGCAAGCCAGCCATGCTTTCAGGGGTGTCGGAGGGCGGGCAGTGGCTGGCATTCTCCCAGGTTCCATGTTTTACATGTTCCCCTATTAGTAGCTTTGGAAAAGAGATTGATTTCCAAAATCATTGTAACTTTTCTCCTTTTCAGGATGCTCTGGTGATGGCTGACAGGTAATTCTTCTGCTCTGAGCATGATCTTCTTGGTCTAGACACCAAATATTCAGACTTGGTTGCATCAGGGGCAGGAGTGTGTCTCGGCTCTCGCATCTGCCCAGTGCTGACAGACTTGGGGCTGCAGTGCTCGACCCCTGATTGATTCTCCAGGAGGGGTCTCCATGGCACCCTTTTCGACAGCAACACCGCAGGGGCAAACAGTTCAGCCCATGACTGGGCACGACTGGCTAGCTGGAACATCACCCAGCCCTCCACCACAGGCAGAGATCGTTTTGTGGGAATTCTATAGAATAGGGTCGACAGCACCTTGGACATGGATTGAGGCTTGCTTGTACAGGTTATGAGGGTGGGCTTAGACACAGGACAGGCCTGGGGGATGAGTGGGCAGCCTGAATTCCAGCCCCGCCCCCACTGGGAACATCACCAGTGTGGCCCCAACCCAAACAGACAGGCACGTCCTCCATGGCCCCAGAGTCTGTCCGCCTGCAGGAGCCGTGGTGGGAACTCCCGGGTCCCATCCCAGGAGTCTTCCCAGATTCTGCAGCTGGTGGCCACATGCCCATCCTCATCCCGCCCCAGACCTGAGACACAAACCAAGGCCACTTGCCCCAGGCAGCCTTCTAGGTCAGCTGAGAAGCCACCAGGCCCATGGGGAGATGGGAGGGGCCCAGTATGGGGCCAGGCTTCCTGCCCAGTCTCTGCCCGCAGGCTGGGGGAGTTCCTGAAGACAGAGACGGACGTGGAGATCACAGGGCAGCCTGACTTGGAGGACCAGACCTTGGACTTCTCGGATGTGGAGCAGCTGATGGAGCATATCCACTCCACCCCAGGTGCGCAGCTCACCCATGGGTCCACATACTCACACCCATGGCATCTATGCACCCACAGCTTCAGCATCCGTGCACCCACACCTGCAGTATCCACATATCCGTATCGAGACACCCACACCCACAGTGTCCACACATCCACTCCACCCCAGGTGTGCATCTCACCCATGGCTTCATGCCCCGATACTAGCTAGCTTCCTGCGCTGTGAGTGCAGGAATTCCAACAGCTCAAAGCTGTCACTCCAGGGGACACAGGCTAAACACTCAGGATGGGCCACCTCACTCTCAGGGGGCCCTCAGGAGCCTAAATGGCTTTGAAACCCGAGTAAGCTGGCGATCAGCCCAGCCCTGTTGTGCCCAGATGGGTGAGCCTGGCCAGTTGTCTGGCCCCTGTGGCCTGGCTCCCCATGGCTGTGCAGTAGATGTGTGGTTCCCTATGGGCGTCAGGCATGAAGCTGCCAGGGGCATGTATGTTCAGCCAGTCACTGGGACTAAACTGCTCATGAGAATGTGCTATGGGGCTGGAGAGACAGCTCTGGGAGGGCGCTTGTTGGATCAACCCGCTGGGACAGCGACACCGAACAGAACCATGACATGACCTCCAGTTTCCTGCACCGTGACTTTAATTTTCGTCCTTGTCCACTCTGCACTCCGCTGCCTTGCCAAAGCCACAGGTCCACAGAGGGCCAGGGCAGGGGCCTCCTTCATTCTTGCTTTTCTCTCTTTCTAGCTCCATCCGCTCCCGTGATAAACCCACAGGCCCCCAACTCGGCCACTGGGTCATCGGTGCGCGTGTGCTGGAGCTTGTACTCGGATGACACGGTGGAGAGCTACCTGCTGAGCTACCGGCCCGTGAGGGATGGCTCTCCCGGGACTGAGTCAGCAGGTAAGGTGGGGCCCACTTGTGCTGTGGGCGTTGGGGGGCTGAAGTGCAGGGCCGGAGCTTGGCACAGGGAATGCTGAGCCCTTGGGCTTGGATCTTGCCCGTGTTTGTTTTCCCAGAGCTAACGATGACTGTCAAAGAGACGTACTGCTCTGTGCGAAACCTGGCCCCCAACACCCAGTACGAGTTCTGGGTCGTGGCTCAAAACCAAGCCGGGTCTAGTCCCGCCAGCGAGCGAGCCGTGTACATGACAGGTGAGGCCAGACCATCCTCCCGGGACTGGGTCCTGCCTTGCTCAGGGGGGCAGCTCGAACCGCCAGTTTCTTCCCCTGATCCCCATGTCTATGCCTGGGGGGTAGGGGCTGTGTCCCGTAGGAAGGCCCGCAGCACTGCTGTGCCCTCTAATGTGGCCGCTTGCATCCTGCTGAGCTTCTCTCCCTGTCTTGACAGGGTCACAGACCCTTCCCGGCTCAGGCTGTGGGTTTTGGGGGGATCCCTCCTGGTCCTCAGGCTGGCCTGTTCTGCCATGTGTACCTGAGGCAGCAGGAGACAGCGAGCTTCCGTGGGGTTTTTAGGAGACTCCCCCCCCCACCCCCCCACCCCCCCCCCCGCGATCCCTAAGGCCACACCTCCAAAAACCATCCCTGGGGGCTGGAGCGATAGCACAGCGGGTAGGGCATTTGCCTTACACGCGGCTGACCTGGGTTCGATTCCCAGCATCCCATATGGTCCCCTGAGCACCGCCGGGAGTAATTCCTGAGTGCAGAGCCAGGAGTAACCCCTGTGCATCGCCGAGTGTGACCCAAAAAGTAAAAAAAAAAATCCCTGGGGGAGGTGTAAACAGATTGAGGGGCTGGGGGGGTGCACACATGTAGGGATGCTCTTGTAAAACAAAGAGGTGCTTTAGACCTGGGGGCGGCGGCATCTCGGCTGCACTATCTCAGATGCACTGCACTGGGCGGTGGTGGGATCTGGGAGTGGGGGGGTATGGGATGATTCTGGCATGGGACTGCTCTGAGCAGAGGCTGCCCACTCCGACAGCGCCCTCCCCTCCGGTCATCAGGACCCGGGAACTGCGGAGCTGCGAGGAGGCCGCACTCATCTGCTGGGACTCGGGGAACCTCAACCCTGTGGACTCGTACACGGTGGAGCTGACCCCCGAGGAGACTCCTGACATGTCGGGTGTGACTGAGTGCGTGCGGGGCACTTTCGGTCTCGAGGGGCTGTAGCTGGGTGGAGGGAGGTGGCCGGGGCCAGCCCAGAGCCAGGCGTGTGCAGAGAACCCGCATCCGTGCGTCTTCGCCCCAGGAGCTGCAGCTCACAGGCCGCCTGGGCAGTGAGGAGTGGCTGGGCAGCTGTGCTCACCCTCTGCCTGCCTGCAGGTCTGTGGTGGGCATCCCCACCTGTGAGGCCCTGGTACAGCTACAGCCACGGCAGAGGTACACCATCTCCGTGCGGGCCCTCAACGTGGGGGGACCCAGTGCCCGCAGCCAGCCCGCCACCGTGCACACCACAGGTCAGTGTTCCAGTGACAGTGCTACGGGGAAATCAAAGCACCAAGGGATCCCAGATGAGGCCAGGCATGGGTCAGGGTGGGAGTTGTGCCGGGCCCTTGTGGTGGATCCCAGCAGCACTGAGTGTGGCCCTGAGCCCAACAGAACTCAGGTTTCTCTCCAGACTCAAGACGTGTCCCTGTGTAAGGGGATGAGCCCCCAAGTGGGCTCAAGGAGCTTCCTGGGGTTCTGCCATCAGCCAAGAAGTCCGTGAGTATGTCCCTGCCCTGCTGGGTAAGCAGAGACCACCTGTCCTGCTCTGGTGGGCGAGCCAGGCACAGGTGTTCAAACAGGCAGTGGGCAGGGCGCCTTAAAGTCAGGTGGGAGGTAGGGTCAGGTACGCCCACTGCCCATGCCAGGAGAGGCACTTGGTCAGTCCCCGCAGGGAGCATCGCCTCAGGCTGCAGAGGCATAGGTGTGGGGCTCCAGAATGTTCCATGGCTTATTTGATTACCCACTCCTGGTGGAGCCTGAACTGTGGCCCCATGGGTATGAGCCTGAGAGGCATCACCCACACCACCTGAGGGAGTTCATCCTGGGAGCTGGGCACCGTGTGCAGACAGCAGGTGTGGGGCAGCTCGGTGCTCCCCCACAGGCAGCTGTTTCCCCCTGGACCCCAACACCTGCCACCCCTGGCTGAGCATCTCCGAGGATGAAGACGGACTTAGGGTGGTGCGACGTGAGCAGAAACGCGCCGAGAAGGGGCCGCCCCCCAGCAGCACCCGCTTCTCCAGGTAGCCACTCGCAAGGGTGGGGCAGGAGATAGGCACAGACAGGCCATGGGCACTTGGCAGTGAAGTTAGGCAGAGCCGGAGCAGTGCCACGTCCCCTTAGAACTGGAGCTCTGAGTTTGGGGCGGTCTCCTTCTGCAGTGTGGGCACTGCTTACCCAAGGCGGGGCACTGAGGGCAGGAATGACCACTGGAACTATCTTGGGGAGCAGTGTGAGGTTTGGGGGGCCTCTGCGAGAGTTCCCTTTGTGGAGAGGTTTGGGGGCATCTGAGCCTGGGGGTCTGCTGGCGTGCTCCGCCTGGTGGGCAACAGAGACTGGGGTGCTGCCCATGCCCCACTGCCTTCTGGGAACCCAGACTGTGGTCAAACCTGCCTCCACGACTGCTCTGCCCCTCCCCCTCCAGCATCTGGGGGGTGTGGGGTGCTGCTACCAAGTGAAAGTCATCCCCAGTCACATTTCTCCATCTCACAGGTGTGTCGCTGTCCTGGGGAACCTGATTCCCGTCCGAGGCCGCCACTACTGGGAGGTGGAGGTGGACGCGCATCTGGACTACACAGTAGGCGTGGCGCTGGGGGACGTGCCCAGGCAGGAGGACCTGGGGGCCAACCGCCTCTCCTGGTGCATGCGACACACATCGGCCAGGCCACGGTGAGCGCTGTCTGTGGCCAGGTGGATGAGCCTTAAAGGCCCACGTTGTCCACTCTGGGGGATCTTCCAAGTAGTGCCAAGTGGTGCTGATGGGCCCTGTAGTGGTAGAGTGCAAACTCAGGCTCTCATGCACACTGGGCACACCCTCTAGCCCTTTGAGCCATTACCCCTACCCATCTCGTGTTCTGCTTTATGCAAGAAGGGCCAGAGAGATGGCTCACTGGGAAGAGCACACACTCAACATGAAGAAGGTCCAGCTTTGGTCCCCCCAGGAACGCCAAAAAGAACCCCCGAAACAACCAAGAGTAAAATGTTTCTGAGGACAGTTTGGAGAACGCGGCTTTAGAAGGCCTGTTGCTTTGGCCATGTAATACCATATAATCATAGGAGTGCGGAACAGGGGCAAGAGAACAGCAGGGAGGTGTTTGCCTTGTTCACGGCAGACCCAGGTTCCACCCTGGCACTCCAAGCGCACCCTCCACTGAGCTGGCCAGAAGTAACCCCCAAGCTCCACCTGGGGTGGCCCAAAAACAGATTATGAAACAGTGATGCTCAGTAAGGAGCCCTTCCGCGATCTCTGAAACTTCCTGACGCAAAGTGTTCCCTCCTCAGGCCCAAGTATGCGTTTCTGCACAACAAGACAACGCCAGACATTTGGATCACAGTGTCCCCGCGGAGGGTTGGTGTCCTCTTAGACTACGAGAACGCGAAACTCTCCTTTTTCAACGTGGACATTTCTCAGCACCTGTTCACCTTCAGCTGCCCATTTCCCCACTGCGTACACCCCTGCTTCTCTCTGGAGCAGCCCGGAAGCCTGAAGATACACCAAGGCATCCCTGTGCCCACATGGGCTGCTCTCTACTAGACCCAGGCCTTCCGCCCTCGCCCGCCCGGAATCCAGGAGCCCAGCACAGTACAGGCGCGTGGGATTAACTATCACGTCCCATGGCCGGAGTCTCGCGCTGCCCGCTACCACCTGTGACCGCGCCATGTTGCCTGCTGAGCTGTGGAGTGGCAGCGCGGACCCAGGACTGAGAGTCCTTTTTGCTATCCACAGTTACAGTCCACTCAGCAGTTCCTCATCAGCTGAAACTGCCTCGAGTAGCATTAGGACATGGCAAACGCAGCAAGTCTGAATTCAGGATTGTAAGGTTCTGTGGACTATTCCACACGGAATTTGGTGATCCTGGATAAAATCTCAGCGCCTGACATTTTCAATAAAATTTTATCTGGTAAAGAAAAGTTACAATTAGTTTTGACATTTAATATCCATTTAATTTATACAAGGCTCAAGACCAACTTCAAGGATCACAATTATTCCGCATTAAGGACCTTTATTCGGGACCAGAGAAACAGTACAGCATGTAAGGGGCTCGCCCTGCAAATACAGCCAACCACCTCATCTCCAGCACCATCAGGAATAGTACTGCAGGGTGTGGTCCAAACTCTGCTCCTCCCCCCCCACCCCCAGCCCCCCAAAAAGAAAGAACATTGTCTGAACATTTCTCATCTACAGGAAGTTTTTTAAAAAGTCTTAAAACAAAACCAAACAAAATAAGAGTCTTGAGTAAAATTTAAAATCTGGTGGGAGTAAATTTCAGGAAGGGGCAACATTACCTCAGAGCGCGTTCACCTGCTGACAAATCTGTTGGGGGGAAAAACATATTCACAAAGTCAAACCCTGTCACCACATCCCCCAATTACTGCACAGTTCAAAAAGGCACCTGTTCTGTCTTCTTGACCTCAGGAAAACTCTAACAGTAACAGATGTGTTACAGTGTGTAGCCTTTGGGAACGTCTTCAGACTCCACCTAGTACAGCTTTTATTATAGTGTTATGGCGCTCTGTGACTCTATTTTGACAAAGGTATGTTGAGCCTAAGGGGGGGGGGCGAGTTTCCTGTCTTTGGGTCTCTACCTTAGGGAGCTGAGCCAACAGGAGAGATGTGGGCCTGGGCCAGAGGGCAGTAGAGGGATAAGGGGCCTGACGGGCATGAAGTCCCCCAGCACCAACGGGGCTCGCTGCTGAGCACCGAGCCAGGAACAGCCCAGTCCCCCTACCCTGTCCACGCCACCTTCAAATAAGTCCAACTTCTCTGACTTATTTGGAAAGTCAACCCCTCCTTGCTTGGCGGTCAGTAAAGGAGGACCTCCTGGGGCCTGTCCCCTTCCTCCCTCTCCAGCTGTGTTGGTAGAGAAGCAGGCCTTGCGTTGACTGTGCCACAAGACCTGTTCTATCTACCTTTTCCATTTCGGAGGTCCGGAGCAGAGTCGGCTTGACTTCAAGGACTCCATTTGCTCCACCTCCAGAAGCAGAGGGGGGCGCCGGCATCTGATGGCGGCCCCCAGACGGCGGGGCCGGGGCGGAGCTGCTTGTCTGGGGGCGCACACCTGCCCCGGACCCAACACCCCGAGATTTCAATCACCCGGCAACTCCTCTCGGAGGATGGCCACTTCCGGGCACAGGCACCCTATTGTTACAATGTAACTATTATTGCAACGAGAGCGGCTCCTTCCTTCTGGCTGCTCAGCCAGACCCCCATCCAGCAAAGCGGGTGGGTGAGAGAGGGGTGTGCTCTGGAACTAAGTGCTCCCTGTCCTTGTCTCCCCAGGCCACGTGGCGTGGACGTCACATCTGGGCGCGGTGGGCCCGTCCTGCGTGGCTGACCACCACCACTGACCTGTTCGCCTCCGGGCCCGGGAGCCAGTTCGGGCGGGCAGCGCGCACCGCGATGTCCATCTCCATGTCCAGTGCCGAACCCCAGGCGGCCTCGCGGACCCGAAAGGCGCGAAGACACCCGGGCCGGCCTGGTCCCCTCCCTGCACAAGCCGGGGTGGCCGGACACACTGGAGGGCCCGTAACGGCGGGGAGGCGGAGGACGCAAGCGTGCCCCGAAGCTTCCAGATCCTTCCCACGGCCAAGAGTCGCCTCACACCCCCGCCCCCGCTGGCTGCGTCCGCCTACCAAAGCCTCGAAACACGTTTACAAGCAACACCAGGAGCCGGCGCCCGAACCCGGGGCGGGCCCGCGCCCTCCTTCCGGCGGAAAAGGGGCCTCGGCGCTTCCGGTCGGGGCGGAAGTTCCGCCCCGCGCACGGCGTGACGTCAGGATGCGCCGAGGTCCCCGGTTCCGGTTCTGCGGCAGGCGGCGCGGGCCGGGCGTGGGTCCACGGCGCTGCCCCGTCGCTGCCCCGCCCCGAGCCTTCCCGGCAGCCGCCGCTCGCCTGCGCCCAGCGTCGCGGAAGATGCGACGCGGGTGGCGCGGGGCGACCTGGGGCAGCTGCGAACGGGCTTTAGCGGCCGGCGGGACAGCCGCGCCCGCGAGAACCCGTGGACCCGGGCCGGGAGTTCCGCTTTGCGGCCCCGAGGCTGCGGAAACCCGAGTCCCGCCTGGCCCCGCCGGCCCAGCCCAGTGCCGCGTCCCGGGGGCCAGAGGTCCGCCCTGTCGGGAGCTGGGGCCACCCGGAAATGCCCCGACGCCCCAACGCGCTGCTGTGGATCCTCGTTTACATCCGGGTTTATACCGTGTATGTGGGCCAGGTAGAGCCAGGCCAGATGACCAGAGCTCTGCTTAAGGCGGTTGCCTTGCACCTGGACTTCCCAGTTCAGCTCGTTGAATTCACGAGGTCAGACTCAGGAGTTCAAATCTTGCGGCTTAGGGACCTCCAGTAGCTTCTTGGTGTTTGGGACTTACCATGGCCTTTTGGCCAATAAGTCTCTCCAGTCTGCTTTCCAGGGTTGCTTCCGCCTTGCTCTGTGCTGTCGCTGAGACTAACCGTCTACCCTGACTGCCTTTAACCCTTGGAAGACATCTTTTGTTTTTAGGTGGGGGCCACACCCAGCTCTGTCCCCCGGCGAGCCAGCCCAGAAAATTTCCTTTAAAATCAGTCTCTCGGGGCTGGAACGATAGCACAGCGGGTAGGGCGTTTGCCTTGCACGCAGTCAACCAGCGTTCGATTCCCAGCACCCCATAGAGTCCCCTGAGCACTGCCAGTCGTAATTCCGGAGTGCATGAGCCAGGAGTAACCCCTGTGCACACTGGGTGTGACCCCCCAAAAAAGAAAAGAAATAAGATAAAAAAATAAAATCAATCTCTCAAAAATGCTATGTCTGCCTTGGTGGATCAGAAGAACTGAAGCTGTAGCACTGTGAATGAGGGTTGGGAGGTTTTATTTACCAGTGGATATCATTCAAGAACTAGGTTAGAGGAACCCTTAATTTTTTAGCCTACTTCAGTAGGAAGGGCTGGAGCGATAGCACAGTGAGTAGGGCCTTTGCCTTGCACACAGCCGCCCCAAGTTTGATTCTTCCGCCTCTCTCTCGGAGGAGCTGGCAAGCTACCGAGAGTATCTCGCCCACACGGCAAAGCCTGGCAAGGTACCCGTGACATATTCGATATGCCAAACACAGTAACAAGTCTCACAACGGAGACGTTACTGGGCCTGCTTGAGCAAATCAATGAACAACCGGAGGACAGTGCTACTTCAGTAGGAAGAGAGGTTTGAAAAGCTGGCTGGAAAATCAACTCCCACCTCCCTAATCTTCCTGCCGTGCATTGGCTAACAGGAGTCACTGGGTTATTATTTTGGCCTCATCCACTCACACAGGCAAACAAACCCAAAAGCCCTGCCGTTAAGTATGTCCTTTGTCTTTTACACTGCCCTGAGCTATTCTCTAAAGCTTCTCTAATTACAAAACCCTTGTGGTTACTTCTTGGTTCAGGATGTACCTTGGCCACTTTGTGGCGAATGAGCTTCTTCCCATCTACTTCCCGGGTTGATTTCCCTATAAAGTTGGTCTAATACCTGATCATAATATTCTCTCTCACATAATTGTCTTGGATTCTGTAGTAATTATGAGCTATATAAGCAGAGCAGAGATACTTAAGGGTTTATGTCTGATCTGGACAAACTTCTAATGAATGGGTTACGGACTAGACACCAGAACCATCTAAACTAAAGCAGAACTTTGCGATGAAAGTAAAACCTGAGCCTGACTCATGTTGAAGCCACTGCTGCTTCTCCATGGTACAAACAGGCCAAGTGTTATTACCCAGAGTACAGGCGTGGAGGTGAGGCCTGAGTCTGAGTGCAGTGTAAAGGCAGATGAAAACATTCTGGAAGGTTCAAAGAGGCTGACTATGGAGGGAAATTATTTGCTGGAGCAACTCCTCCATGTGAACTCCTCCTTTGCTGGAACCATATACCTAGAGTGAGCCTCCAGCGGGCCGATCAGCACTGGATGTTAGACTTCACCTCGCTTTGCTCTGAGTGTTGACCCACGTCTTTGAGCTGTCTCCCCAACCCCAGGCCTGAGGCTTTTAGGGGTGAGGAATTCTTCCTTGCGGACAGTTTTGCAAGAGTGCAAGTTACAACCCTTTATGATCTGGTTGCTGGCTGTAGCAGCAACCCCGTGACCTTAGTTGTGGATGTTGTGCTGGCGCAAGCCCCGAATGAACAGAGAATGTGCTTCAGGATAGGATAGTGAGTTTATTAGAGGCTCAGCACTGAGGACCCCAAGTCAGAAAAGAAAGAGACTTGGAGCCCCCTTTGCTGAGAGGGTCTCTCTTTTATCTTCTAAAGGTGGGCTACAATCTATGTACATGCTCATATAAACTGGAGACAGAACAAAAGAAAAACAATCAATGCATTGTTCTCACATTATATGGCCTTCAGGCGCCCAAAAGAAAAACAGTCAGTATATCCTGCCCATTTGGCGCGGCCTTCACTCCCCTCAATCTGGCAGGCCCAGTGTACTCCCGTAAATTTGGTGGGCTGGTGGGCACTTACTTGGTTTAGATCACAAAAGGAATGCTTCTTCCTCCCTTCTTTTGTTTAAACTAAGGTTCAGTTTCAGTTTCCCAGTCCCGATCACATTTTCTTAGCTCTCATTAGTTTCACAACTCATTACTTATCTACAGCTTCTTATTTGTCATTACAGTGTCCAATGAAAAGCGTCACAGGAAGAGCAAAAGTTCCAGTGTGCCCCCTTCCTGCAGCTGGCCTGCACTGTGTGGCGCTGGTGAGACAAATGTTCCTCGAAGGCCCCCAGTGCCTTTCCAGTCACCAGTTGGTTTGTGGACCACAACCGGTTGTCACTGTTTGCTTGCTGCGTTCTGAGGGTTTTGTTTTGTTTTGTTTTGGGGTTTGTTTGTTTGTTTTGTTTTGTTTTGTTTTTGTTTTTAGGCCACACTCAGTAGTGCTCAGGGCTGACCCCTGGCTCTCCGTTCAGGAATCACTTATGGGGTCATAGGGGACCCTATGGGGTGCCAAGGATCAAATCAGGTCAGTTGCGTACAAGGCCAGTGCCCTCCCTGATATCTCATCTTCCTCTAGCCCTACTTTGGTTTGGTGGGGTTGTGTGAGCCACAGCGAACAACTCCAAGTCTGTTCTGGGCTTTAGTAATCATGGAGGGTGCCATAAGTGCCAGGAACAGAACCCACACCCTCCCCACAGAGCACACACTGAGCCCTTTGAACTGTTTCCCAGCCCTAGTCACCCTTTCTACATGAATCTTCAGCCCAGAATCCAAGTCTCCTTCCAAACACCACTTCTTTGAGGTGACTGATGGTCAGGAGTGAAAGTGTCTTAAGGACCATCAGGTCATCTGAGGAGAGCTTTGCCCAGGCTGAGGTTGCAACATACGAGTGACACACGCATATCCACATCATTAACAGATGACTGTCACCAACATGGCAGTCCTTAGGGTCCTTAGCAGGTATCAAGTAGTGCCTAACAAACCACCAGCTACCTTTTTCTTAGCAAGAATGAACACACTGGCTCTAAAATGCATATGGAATAGTGCCCCCGAGAAAACAGTCTTTAAAGAATGGAACTAGAGGCCGGAGAGCCAGTAGTGAGGAAGGGGCTTGCTTTGCACATTGCTCACCAGGTTCTATCCCTGTACCCCATGTGGTTCCCCAGACCTCATCAGGAGTGAACCCTGAGCTCTGCAGGGTGTGACCCAAGAAAGAAAAATATAAAGAAAGATAGTCATAATGAATGGGTCAAGTTCTAACAAAATAGTTACTAAGGAAAGAAAAACAGTCTAGAACTGAAATTTAAAGTTAATGAGTAAGTTTCTAGTGAAGATGTCAGAAGGGCTTGGTGAAATGAAAAAATAATGAGATGCATTAGTTGAGAATAAAAAGAGGAGAAATAAAGCTTTCAAGGTCACGGTATTAGAATTCTAGAAGAGAGAAAAGATAGGAAAAATGAAAGGACACCCTCACATTTGGGAAAGACAAACACAAATTGAAAATAATTTCAGGGAGGGCTTGCTGGAGAGGTAGTTTTTACAAGGCACGTCC